CCTTTATCATAAGTTTGTCAAAAAATAAATTATTTAACAATATTTACTTCCTATACCCATTAATGTCCTTCACGCTACCAAACTATTCACATGTGAACCAATTACGATGGCGATTTTTTTAAAGATATTGAATGAACAATAACTTTCAATCGGAATTGTCTCAACAAATTGATAGTTACAAATACCTTTGAAAGCTATTGGGTAATTTTAAATGAAAAAGTTGAATACTAACTTTTAAATACCTTCCGACATTTTATGTATGTTTTTTTATGATTCTGGATATATTATAAAGTTTTAGTAAAGATATACATACTTAATGTACATTTAAAACCAACCAAGAATTCAAATATGATCACTCGTCACTATGGCAAAAATACTAAGAATACTTACTTGATAACATATGTATTTACAACTTTTTAATAAAATGGTAATTTTCTGACTACCACAAAATTTGCAAATTTCTCTAAGGTGACTATTACACGATGTTAATAAATTCCTCCAGTTTTGGGTTACCGATCTTTTTATACGTAGATTTATTCAGAATTCTACATACAACAAACATTTTAACAGCTTATCTCAGACTTAAAAGGAAACGCAGTTTAACCAACTTTTCTGACAGATGATGCACAGCTGATGACATGACGAGCTTAAGGATAGATACGTAAATACGCCACTTAAGAACAATGAGGAAGTATTTAAAAAAAACACAAGTTCCCGAAATCAAACTAGATAATAATATAAGTAAATTACTTTTCAAAATTCAATAAACAACTCATATTCTATTTGTAAGATTTCGTATTTGTATTGATATCTAAGTTTCGAACTTTTCAAATTTCAGATTTTTAATGTGTTAGTTAAAAGGAACGGAAAATGACTATCTTTGGTCCATTCGTTTCCTGTAAAAATCAACTTTTGCTAGGGTCGTCATCTAGTGGAGGTGCTTTTTAGTGCTTTCGTTTTATTTAAATACTTCCTCATTTTTGTTTTATGCAGACGCCATCACCAAGAGATGGCGTTAGTTTCTGTACGAAGTTTTATAGTATGCTTTTAACTTCGTATAGTAAAAAGAATTATTTCTAATAGATGGCTATGATAATGATTTTTTAAAATTGGATTTACTAGGGATTATTACTAACTCGCAAAACCAAACTTGTTCTTCGGAACAGAAAAACTTTGTATTTTATTCGAAAAAACCCTTCTTCCCTAATAATCGACTTCAAGTTTTGTTGATTTTAAAATAAAAAGTTATTCTGTTCTAAAGAACAATTTTGATGGTGCGGGTTACTACGTCTTTGCTTTCCAGTGTCAATGTTCGGATAAAATTTACTTAAAAATGTTATGCAGTATAATTTCCCCACATGTAACATTTTTAAAATTAAAAGACAAATAATTAAGTTTTTTTATACTATATTCTAAGCAAACTAGTAGCATAATTCAGAAAGCATATTTTATCCATGTAATTACGGACTATATAAAAATAACTGAATGAAATATACATAATCTATACAAATAACTATATAAAGTATTCACACTGAAATAATAAAATTGTTTCACTGCTTTCTATTCTAAAGTGGAAAAAAAAATCAGGAATCAGGAATGCAATCTTAATGAAAAATGCTTAAATAAACCACTTTGTCTCTGGTACTCTGAGATAAGATTCAAACCCACGACCTACCGGAATGACTAAATAGTTATAAGTATCCATAGTAATCAAACCTGGGGATGATTTTTTAACCTTCATTTATATTAAATTCAATTTTTATAATAAAAATGATAAAGATAATTAATAATCTTTAAAAAAAAATTAAGATTATCAATATTTCGTTCACTTAGTATTTCGGTCTCTAAAAGAAGTAAAAATGATAATAAAAATGATTGGAGATTCCATATCCATTTTATCAGATGAATGAATTACCTATTTGAAAAATAGAAAAATCAATCACAGATAGTATAATAAAATATATAAACAATCTAAACTTGTCTTGCAAAAATCAACTGAACATGAGAATAAAACATAGATAAAATTTGTAGTTTAAAGAATAATGAAATTACTAGTAATACTTTTTAGGACATTAAGTACAAACAAATTAGATAAAAATTATATATTTTGAAAAAAAATTAAACAATCTTGTCTACCTATATCTTATTTTCATTTTAGACTGTTGACTTTTATATCTGTTTGTTAGTTTAAAAACTTCCTGCGATAATGGATTAAATTTTAGCGACGTTTTCTTATTGGTTCTGTAAAAAAAAAACAAATCATCATCAAACTTATCACAGAATTTGAAGCACACAACAAAATTACAGCTTACACATTTTTTTACTAAAATTTATCAATAAGACGGTAACTGGATTGTCAAAAAGACTTTAGCTTGTTACTAAGTGTTATTGACATAACTTTAGGGCTGACCTAAGCTTTCCAGTTTAATTTTTGCAAAAGTCATTTCTTTCCGCGAATCTACTCTAAGATAACATCAGGTTGCAGATATAGGTTCATATGACATTAACTATCTTTCAACTCTAGGAATAGTAGTAGTAAATTTTGAAATAGTAAAATAATCATACCTAAAAATATAACCCTACCCGATAGGTATATGTTCTGCACAATACACAATGAGTAAAAACACATTTACAGACAATACACATTATCATTTATGATAAGGGGCCGTCCATTAATCACGAGAGGCTTGAACGTGGGGAGCGGGTTCGTATAAAAATCACGAAATATCACAAGGAGGTGGGGGGGGGGGGGGATAGTAATATTAATATCACTACTCCGAACCGAAAAGCGGTAGGTACTAAAAATATACCATATCGCACAGGACCTCACCAAAATGAGACTCACACATCCAGGGATATTAGTTAACCCATCGGAATGACACAATAAAGCGAAGCCGTATAATTATTTTTCAATATAACAGGCTTATTTGCTCTCTACTAAGCTGCTGGCACAAGTAATCAACAGAGCTATCTCTAACACTTTCGATACTGGCGGAGAATCACAGTCCTGACCCAGTATGGAATAGGTATCATTGTTACTGGTATCTCACCGAACCATACACCCAAACGGCAGACAACACATACGATATTAACGAATAATTGGAACAACCCAATATCCGGACTTCCTATAAAACTATGAGAACATAGAAATGAAAGTATGAAGAACAGACCCAGAGTCCAAATAAGCAAAGAAAGTCAAACACATAAGAATTCTCATTCCAATTTGGACCGATCGAAACTGAGGGTCGATAAAATTCAAATAAGAATTATGAAATTTTGAATAGACCACACGATTTCATGTGGTCTATGTATGCTTGGTATTATAATAAAATGTAATATGATAAAAAAATTATAATAAAAGGTATGCTTAGTAGTATAATAAAATGTAGGCACAAATGCTTAAGGTACAATGTGGTGATACTGTGCTCCCCTTGTGATATATAACCGAAATACTATGCTAGCCGATACTCACAATAAGTAAGAATCATTATAATTGTCAAACTTAAAAAACACTTTGAATCTCGAAACAGAAAAATATTTCATGTAAAAAAAATATTTGTAGGTAGGTGGTATCATTGTGGTATTGCGCTGTAGGTGTACAGTACATACATTCGTAGTTGCAGGCTTAGCCGTAATTTTGACGTTTTTGTGTGGGTTTGTAAGACGTCCACACTGTTGCTCAACAATTTGTATAACTGCGTCCGTACATAAACAATGTATTTGTACATAAAAGTAAAATTACAATTTTCGTTTTATAAATATAAATGCATTTTCTAATTGGGGTGTATAAGAATATTATGCATTATTTTAGTAACACGTTGTATAAGCAGAAAATCGACTGAATCGGAGCAGTCTTCCTTGGTAATAACTAGTGACGTGATAACTAGATAACCAAAGTGTGGACTTACGTGAGTTGTGTTATTCTCGGTTACTATATCTGTATACGTGTGAAGTTTTAAATTGTTGATAAATTGAGGTGTATTCCAAATAAGTTAACATTTAGTAATAAAAAAACGAAAATAAATATTAATAATTCTAAATCTAGTACCTACACATTAAATTGAAATAGGTTAGAAGTGTTATGTGCTATTAATATTATAATTGTGAAAGTTTCTTTGTTTGGACGTTTGTCTTTCAATCACGCCGAAACTACTGAACGGATTTTAATAAAATTTGGTATACAGATAGGGTATTAGCTGACATAGATAATAGGATACTATTATATTTATCCCACTAAACATTTCCCAAGGGACCAGGCGGGCGAAGCCGCTGACGGGAGCTAGTAGTTTCATTAAATCAGATTTGTTGTTGACTGTACTCGTCAAACTCTACATTAAAATTACAATTATAAAATCACATACCATCAAATAGCGTAATTGAAATTAACGTATAATTAAATTCATCATTACACAACTTCACTCGTAATGGTATGGCTGGCTTATTGAATATGTTCATGAAAAACATATGTAAGTATTTATAATGATTTTTAATTAATTTAAACAGAGTATTAAATAATTATCAAGCCAATAACTAAATTAATATCTAACTCTTATGAAATAAAATTTGTGATTCTTTTCTTTTGTCAAATGACGTAACGTTGCCGACAGCATTGTACTTAAACAACGTCTACAAATTATCGCTTACTAGCTATTTTGCCGCGTCTCTGCCCTTGTAAATTATAACCTATAATGGACGAAGTCGTGGTTGACATGCATTTCAAAGAAAGAACTGGACCGATTTTAAGAATATTTTCACCTTCTGGAAACTCAATCATACGTATCCACGTATGTTAAACCGTTGATCACTATTGCATATGTAGGTGTTAACGCCCAGCAATCCGCATTAGTTCCCGCGTGGTGAATTATGGTTCATTCTCTCTATTCAATTCGATTCACCCTAGCAACAGGGACATAAATAGACTGGTGATAAGTAAAAGTATCTATATATTTGCAGTTACACTGTGCCTAGTATTAGTTCTAACCAGTTCCAAGATTGTCGATATGCCGCAAAAAATGGTACCTAAACTTTCACGCAAACTGAGGCGATGGAACGAAGTCTTCAACGCAACGAACGTATCCACATTAAATGAGAAAAAGAACGAGACAAAAGAATGGCTTTTCAAACATTATCTTAAGAAATTTCGACCTATCAATGTTTGGGAGAGATTGTACAAGAAAAAGAAAGCTCTGGGGCTCAATGTCACTTTTGAGGATTGCGCCGATGAAATTTTCGATGGTAATATGATTATTTTTCAAGGTGTCGCCATTCTGGCTGGGTCAATATTGAAAATTAACTTTTCTTTTCGCGGTACTTTCATTTAAATTCTTCTTTAACTACACATCTTAGAATTTGAACAATACGAGTATATCCTTTTCATAAATTTGAATCACTGAAATATTTTTTTTTTTCGACTTTCGATATTTTAATATTTTCCTTAAGAAATGACACAATGAATAAATATAAAAAGTATGGCCAGTGTTTTATAGATAATTTGTAAATATGTTTTTAATATGTCCTATAGGTACTTCATTTGCAGTACTGACAGGATTTTCTAAGACTCCGTTGTCTGTCCGACCGTCAGTTCGTCTGTTACCGGGCTGTATCTCATAAATTTCCCAGATTATGTATTAATATTGCCACCATAGTAAAAACAAATCCCTTAAATATTATAAATAACTTACCTCCCTTAAATGTTTATTTTATTAAGTTTATTTAGTATTTGTTGCCAAGGTGGCAATATTAATACATAATCTGTGTAATTTATGAGATACAGCCTGGTAACAGACGGACGTGCTCCCATACAACAATAGTGTTTTGTGCGGAACCATTCTTGTACAAGTCCGACTTGCACTTAATCGGTTTTTTTGTATTGTCTGTATTTAAAATGAACATGATGACTAATAGATTCAACAAACAGGCATTGACGAAACCGATGAGCTTCTACGTGTGAAACTAGACGAAAACTACGGTAGTGGTAGAAGAAAATGGAGTCCGCCGGGTCGCTTGGATAAAGAATTACACCAAGAAACCGATCTTTTCAGCATGCGGAGACGATTCTACGACTTGATACTCCATTCTATGTACTGGACGCGTAACAAAATGATAAATATGCAAGTTATAAGGAAGAAATATAAGGATTCAAAACTCTACAAAATGGGTTTCATGATGAGCAAAAATGATATTGCCTGTAAAATGTTTCATAAATTTGCTTTCATAGAGCTCATCACTTGTTCAAAAACGTATTACGGTTCAATGGCACGTTACTACCCAATAGAAATGTTGCACACCGAAGAGAGGATGCTTAACAAATGGTTTGATATAACATTGCTAACAGATTTGATTGTAAAGAATGATGAAACCTGCAAAGAAATGCTTGAAGAAGCGAACACGAATAGGGAAAATGCTTGGGAATTTTATGATTAGAATTATATAACACAGATATTAAACTATTTGTGCATTTATGTTGATTAAATATATTGTTGCCTGTCAATATTTAACAATAACAACCAAGTAGCACAAAAACGCTGTATAGTAGCATTATAATTATCCATATCGTTATAATAAGCTGTACAAGCATGCTGTATAAGAGAGTTAGGAGCGCTGTAAGTGTAAGTTTAGATGAATAACTGTCAATATATTTTATAACAGCATTATATAAACATTATTAAGGGTAACGGTCATTCTATGAGCTGTTTATTAGAGTATTTGTTACCAATTATACAGCATTACTATGTTATTACCGTGATACATAATAGCATTATTATACAGGTAAGAGCATTATTATACAGGTAAAAGAGTAATTTTCAGCTATGGCTGGTTAAGTATAATACTCGAATAAGAATTCTTAATGCTTATGTTACCGATATGTCCTTTTATCATTGTATAGACATTAAACCGTTCCATTAAAATTCCCAATCCCTAAATGTTTCCTTCGTGCATTTTCTTACAATTGGGCTCGCAGGGTTTTAGGTGTTTACTCATAAACAAGGTTGCCAACTTTACATTTCCATCTGCCAAGGGCGGCAGAGTCCCCTCGTTTGACCCTCCATGGTAGTCGGAGTCACGATGGTCTTTGGTCCGAGCCCGGAGGGTTGACCGAGGTTCTCCCCCCTCGGAGCAGACACTGCGACTGACCACTCAGTTAGCAGACCTAAAACAAAAGTACAGGGATGAAATTAGAAGTCAATCAACAGCTCATTTTCGCAAGTTCTGCGAGCGGCAGACCGGAGAGGATGTGTGGTCTGTGACCAACCACATTCTCCGGTCTGGTGCTCCCAGAATGCCTCCCTCAGCTGTTGTGGTCGACGGTAGTTACACTAAGAACGTATCAGAGACCTCCGATGCTCTGATTGATTTCTTTTCCCCGACGATCCGGTATCTACTGACACTCCTAAACAGGCTGATGTTCGATCATCCTGTCACTCCACACCTGAAACGACGAATGAACCTCCATTCATAGTTGAGGAAACACTTGACGCCATTAAATCTACTCCACCGGGCAAGTCAACCGGCTTAGACGGGCTAACTTCTGACATCTGCATTCAATTGTTTCCCCAACCTATTTCCCGATCTGACGAACCGGTGTTTGAACATCGGTCACTTCCCACAATGTTGGAAGATGGCCGTGGTCAAAGTCATACCAAAACCCGGATCAGACAATGCGGACCCACGCGCCAATCGACCGATTGGGCTGATTTTAGTCTTCGGAAAGGCGTTGGAAAAAATATTCATCAACCGGATCTTACACCACTTAGCGATAACCGATAACCTGTACCCCCTCCAATATGGTTTTCGACGACACATTTCAACTGTGCATGCCCTGCATGATGCCGTTGAACATATCGAATAGTGCAGGTCAAAGAGCAAACTATGCATTGCAGTGTCGCTGGACATCAAGTCGGCCTTTTGCCGTGCTTGGTGGCCAGCGATACTCAATAGACTCAAATCAGTAAATGTCCGAAAAATCTGTTTTGACTAGTCGCCAACTACCTAGAGGACCGGTCTGTCATATTAAACTTTGCTGGCACAACGACAATGAGAGATATGACGAGGGGATGCGTTCAGGGATCGGCTTGCGGCCCAGCGCTATGGAATTTAATCCTGGACGAGCTTCTTGGCTTGCGAATAACGAAAGGCTGCCGCCTTCAGGCGTACGCGGACGATGTTTTTCTGATCGTGTGTAGACACGATTGTAGACACGACATTAGAAGTAGTTCTAATGTCGCCACTCCCCAAGAAAACACTAACTCCGCTCAAACCTTGCCTTTTCTCCCAAGTCGACTCGGACTCCCATGATAATGAGAGGTGTGGAGTGTATTATGTATTAAATGATATATACTGAATCGCGCTACACTGCTGGTCCCGGCTTACCTTGCGCACTATCAAGTGTTTTTGGTTAGGTTATAAGCGGTCAGTTCCTCCAAGACACCACATCTCAAATCCCATTAGAACTCGTTACGTCACTTTTCGCCTCTTGTACGCTCGATGAAATCGTCCAACGGTTTTGGGAGTCCGAGGAACCACCTAAACGTTAAATTTCTGCTCCAGAATATATAATCTGCTAAGAGATATATAAAGATGGTACCTGTAGGACTGAAGACGGTCGTTATATTGTACCAATCATGATTAATCATAATGCTCCTCTCCTGGGTAAATTCTTACCAGCAAACTTTGAACACTTTCTCAACTTAGAAAAACGACTACTTAGTCAATCCGAGTTGAAACTGAAATATCAGAAATTAATAAGACAGTACGAAGATTTAGGACACATGCAGTCTGTCAAGTCCTCGTCTACTGATTGCTATATAATTCCACATCACTGCGTCGTACGTCCAGATAATACTACGACCCGACTCAGGGTAGTCTTCGATGCGAGTAGTTGGACTACAAATAACAATTCTCTAAATGATATAGTCCATGTTGGACCCAAACTTCAAATTGATATAGTTGATTTAATAACTAAATTCCGTCTTCACAAAGTTGTTTTTACTGCAGATATTTGTAAAATGTACCGTCAAATATTAATAATATCGGAAGATCGGTGTTACCAATATATTATCTGGCGTGATAACCCTCATAAAATGCTCCAAGAATATGAGCTAAATACCGTTACATATGGTGTAAGTAGCTCACCCTATCTGGCTATTCGAACACTTCATCAACTAGCTGAAGATCATGGTCATGAATTTTCAAGCCGCGCTTCTGAAATCTTAACAGAAGAAATATTTATGGATGATATTATCACTGGCTGTTCTTCTTTTGATGAAGCCAAGCAATAAGAGGCAGATATTGTGTCTTTATTATCTAAAGGACACTTTGAGCTACGGAAATGGAGTACAAATACAACGCAGCTGTTGTCTGATGTCCCTTTGGATCATTGTCAAGCTGTTAATCCATCGGATGATAATTTCTCTTATACATTTATATATTCTTTTGATGTAAAATTTACAAAAAGATCCATTCTTTCTGGATCTTTAGGCTGATTTGATTCTCTAGGCTGGATCTGACCGGGAGTTTTTTGAGTTAAGTCATTGCTTCAAGAGATGTGGCGTTTAAATCTATTATGGGATGAAGCTGTTCCAAAGCATTTGGCCAAACAATGGTATTCTATCGCGGCAAATTTGTCAGATTTACAAAAAATAACGCTACCCCGCCTAGTAGTACCTTCCAATCCCATTGAAATGCATCTGGTAGGATTTTGTGATGGTTCGCTAAAGGGATATGAATGTTGTGTGTACCTCTATATGGTCACCAAGGCCAAAAGTACTGTTACACATTTACTAATGGGAAATCTAGAGTTGCGCCTTTAACCCTTAACAACCCAGTAAGCTTTTCAAACGTAACTGACCAGAAGTGTCCAACGGACACCGTGTATACTTCTAGGGAAAAAGACAATAATTATAGACTGTAATGTAGTTTTAAGCAATTATATTTATTTATTTACATACATATAACTATTTGAAATTGTTTAAATTAATTTAATATTCATTTTACAAACATTACAAATATTTTTTTACAGAGTGCTCAGAGCATACATTTCGGTTGCATTTATCGCAGCATTGTTACGATGTTCTGAATATTTTTGCAGGACAAATGTGACAGCGCTTCTTTTTTTTTGTAGCAGGTTCAGAAGATTGACCTGCTTCTTGATTGCATCCAACTACATCTTCAAAAGCTGCTAAATAATAATTTGTCAGGTCCTTCTTGTTATGTCTCCTTATATGCGGTGTAACTAACTCAGTTACAATGTCACACAAAAAAAACTTTCCTTGGTACACACTTCTTCCGTTGGTTCCAAGTAGGATATAAATTTTTCCATACAATTAGTGATGCGATGCCAACCACATCTTTATTTTAGAAAAATGCTACAGGCCATCTGTTTGTTTTACGTCGAATTGTGAACTCATGGACTACCTGATCGAGCATCTCAACACCTCCCTTGGTGGAGTTGTAATACAAATTTATTTCACTTCTTATTGCTCACGTTTAAATCATTATTATGATGCATCGTAAAGCACGGTTTTTTTTAGGCACCAACGTCACATTTTAGACACCAAACCAAAAACCGAAGACATTTGTTTCTACGTCACGGTTTCTGTGAGGTAGAAAATTTGAAGGAACACAAGTTATTTTTCTAATTATTCCAACTATTGTTAGTCCATTTTCAGCCAAGGTTTTAGCATCTTCTTTCCTTCATCTTTGTTATGGAACTGATACACATAACTGTTCATCACTTTGTCAAGAGCAAATTGAATTTCACCGTCTGCTAGATTTCTTTTAGTCATTTTATAGAACTAAAAACACAGAACTATGAGGTGCGTATACCACAACTATTTCTGTTATAAACAAATTCTTTTTGATTTCTTTAATAACTCACTTGCTGTGATATAATTCTGAGGACAATATAAACAATAAGACTACCTTCATACTCGAGCGCAACAGTGTCTATCGGACACTTGTGGGTCGATAAGTTACTATTTTAGTTTATTGTAAATAAATGCTATATGAAGCATATTGTAAATATTTTTATTACATATTTAGAATCTTAAAACCCTGCAGATAGAATAGATAGTAATGGTTTTTCATATAAATCAAAACTTATTTTTTATGCGTAAATGAACAAAAAAATGTGTCCAAGAGACACTTGTGGGTTGTTAAGGGTTAAGACCAACCACGATAAATAGTTTCGAGTTAAGCGCAACTGTGCTTCTAGGATGTACCATTTGCTTAAAGAAAAGCTTAAAATTACTTCTGTACGAGCTTGTTCAGATAGTACTACTATTCTTTCATATTGTTCAATTATCAAACGTACTGCTAGATTTAATTTCTAGACATTCTAACTTTACTAAGTTACAAAGAACGTTAGCCTGGTGTTTACGTTTCTTGTCAAATGCTCGCTTGCGTAAAGCAGATCGAAACCTGTCGTTTCTCACAAGCACTGAACTAATTAAATCTGTAAAAGTGCTTGTTAAGATTATGCAAGCTCAATATATGGAGTTACAGATACAACAAGTTCGAAATGAAGAGCAATGCATAAAATCAATCCAAAAACTATGTATCTCCCTTCATAGATGGGGATGGCTTATTTTAAGTGGGGGGACGTATCGATGCAGCTCGTTTAGCGCCTTCTATGTTGCATCCATTTTTGTTGACCAAATATTTCCCGTTATCTCGATTAATTGTCGAGTATTGTCATGTAAAATATCATTGCTCACGTTTCTGCTTTACAACTCTCACTAAAATTACACAGTACTAACTACTTTATCAGCTAATGAAATTATTTTGCTTCACTCAACTGTGTAATGTAACGGATGATGTTTTTGTAATCTTTATTTACATATTTCTTCATTCGTCGTTAATATGTATACAATGTTTGTGGCTCTTATTATTTGTTCATGTATGTATATTATCATTTTGAATAAGAAATATTAAATCTAAACTGCATTATATAACCTTAAAAAAATTTTCGATAATCAAACATAATACCTAAATATTTCCACTATTACAAAATTGGTTTAATATTTCACTCAGCTGCTCAACTCACATTCACATTTCAAAGTCCTTATTGCACATGGAGTGGACATTTTGATTCCCCCATAAAACTTTCACTCCCATTTTCATGGGAGTATGCGCTTAGTATTCGGAATAAAATGTAACCTATTACCTTCCCAAGGTCTAAAACTACTAAAATAGCATACCAACTTATCGTCATCATCAAAAGCTGAAGTTATTTATCCGAAACTATAAAAAAAAACAGTAAAAATTTGTTTATTAGAACCTAAAAGACCTACCGTTTATATATGGTTTCTTGAACTTTGTTTTCGAAGAGATTAATTAACAATTCAAATTATTGGCAACATAAATTCGACATTCTGACAGTTTCACGTCTTTGTTCTTGGGACCTATCGATACAGGTGGCACAAGAGTAGATTATTTATATACAGATAATCTACTCATATTTAATAATTAGATTGATATTTATTAAAGGTAGTTTTTATTGACATTCAGATGTCTCAGGCTCCATTGCTTACTTGGATATGTCGACCCACGAATTATTATACGGTGACATCGGAAATTTAAAGAAACTATTCATTTTACCGATGGATAATTCATCCGAAATAAAAACTGAGCAGGATCTTATATCTATCACGAAACGCGACGACGACTTCTACAGGAATATTTCAGATAAATTTATGGAAAATATTGGAGTCGATGATCAGAGTATCGACGGTAAAGAATTCAATGTCATCACCCGCTCTTTCAATCTTACTAGACGACAGTGGACGGATTATTATTTATCAGCTCGTTATCAGGAGGATTACGATTTTTTTGCTGATAATACGATAACAGAACACAGAAAGAAGGCAATGTTAGTCAACAATGCTCTACAAATATTGATGCATTCTCGTTATAAAATCGCTGGGGCCCTGAAACACAGGATGGAGTACCGCGATGATAAAAGGTCAGTAAGAACTGATCACTTCAGTTCTACTACTACCACACAAGCATTATTAATTAATTAATTTACATTTACAAAAACTTATAAACTAGATTAATCTAAACAAACCTCAATAATAGTAAGACAATAGGGATGACGACTCATTGTTGTTTGTTTGTCCGTCAGGTAGAGTGTTAAAAAATATTAAACACGTATTTTTTATTTTTTTCGTAATCATAAAATTAAGGCTTTACATGGAGTTGAAATTTCACATGACGTCACGTTATGGTGCGTTTCCTACTAAACTGTGACGTAGCGAGCCTCAATTTTAATGCCTGTTATCTAAGTTATTTCTTGTTAAATTGAAGTAAAAAAAAAAGTATGTAATATTTTTCTATTATCTGACTTACGGGCTAAATAGAATTGCATTTTTTTACCCAGTCGTCATCCCTGTTAAGAAATTAACAAATATGAATTATTCATGTTAAGTATTAGTTAACTAGGTCTAGGGATTAGTTCGATGGCGTAGTGGTTAGCGCGCTCGGTCTGCGATACGGTTCTTAACCAATTATTGCAAGGGCAGGTTACACGATGGGTAACCAAAAATTTACTATCTTGACCTCCTCCGTGTTTCAGAAAGCATGTTAAGCCTAAGCATAATAATACCCACCGATCGGCACTGAACGCGCATGGTGGGTCATGGCTAGTGTTGCCAGGTCCAATTTATTATTAATCGGGACAGCGCGTGTAATTAATCGGGATTTGGGGTTGTAAATCGGGACAGACAAAAAAACAAGTATTAGTACTAGTTTGGTAGCTTTTATGCTTTCAGACATAGATAAATATAGTTAGGGGCTTTCAAAAATGGATTTGACAGTATGAAAAAAATTTTTTTTAATAAAAATACTTGATTTTTCGGGACATTTAGCGTCCCGATTAGGTACAAATCGGGACGCGTCCCCAGACCCCTGAAAATCGGGACGTCCCGCGTAAATCGGGACACCTGGCAACACTAGTCATGGCCCCTTCTCCCTATTCGTTTTGATTTGATTGTATCCATAAAGAATGCCTGAACCTAATAGTAGAGACATTTATAAGCTGGTGATGATTAGTTAACTTAAAATGATAAAATTTTAATTTTTAGTCTCATAGTTATTGGATGAATGTCTTAGATGGCTCTGTCTGAGCGAAAGTACCACCAATAAGGTTGTTGTCCTATACTATGTCACGTTATGGCGGCATGCGAAAGTTGTCCTATACTTGCAAAATACAGGTTTCTGTTATATGTTCGGAAAATATTAACCATTTTAACATACAAATATTTATTATATTTGATTAATTTTGCATTCACGATGCTACACTATAAAATATTCTTAATTAAAAATACCTAATAAATCCACTTTGTCCCTGGTACTCTAAGATGGGGTTCGAACCCATGATCTCTCGCAATCCGGGCGACTGCTCTAACCACAAAGCTATCTAGAGTATAATAACAGAACTGACGAATTTTTCAAGCACTTGTTACTTTTTTTCTTTATTACAATTTTACATCAATGTTCAGGCAATCCCAAGCAGCCGAAAGAAATATTTTAAACTTTCGATAATGATTCGTGGCTTGACTTTGTAGAGAGCATTTTCGGTCGATTAAAGCATTTCCCTAAATAAAGCACCATATCTCCGAAACTATTATTCGCAGGCATGCTTTTACTTCCACATCGTTTGTCAGATATTAATCGACTATTATTTCATAAATGAAAACGATTAAGTGCGAGTCAGACTCGTGCACGAAGGGTTCCGTACCGCAAACGTGCAAAAAAAAAACACATTTATTGCATGTAATATTTATTTCATTCTATTTTTTAGTATTTATTGTTATAATGGCAACAGAACTACATCATCTGTGAAGATTTCAACCGTCTTACTATCACCATTCATGAGATACAACTTGGTAACTGCAAAAAATAATGTTTGTATATGGGAAGTCTCTTAAACATTTGTCTTTCTTAGTAATAGGGGTCCTGATTTACCTTTTGGGTACTGAACCTTAATTAAAAAGTAGTCAACTAGCCGATTCCTATGGTCATATTGATACACCGCTCCTTCCTTCTATTAATAAGTTTATACAGACAATGAATCTGTGTCTAGCAAGAAACATTAGTAACCTTACACTAGGTGAAAATAGATGTAAACAATATATCTAGATCTTCCAGTAAAACAATTAAGTCCATGATATCAATTTATTACTTCTTTTTTTCCACACATGCTAGCTGGTTTTTATGACTTCTGAGATCACCTTCCGATAGTACACAATTAATTTGCTTCTATAAAGTGATCACATTTACGTTATATTAGAGCTTCGCTTTTACTTTATCTACCTTGCTTTCTTAATGTATCAATCGATTATACCATATTTCTGTTAATTTTTTCAATGTCTTTTCCACATTTTCCACACTCCAGATACAATATTATTGGTCACTGTTCTTTCACACTGTTAACCGTGACCCTTATATTATTTCTGGTATTATCTTTGCTCTCTTAGCACATAGTTTAGGCCTTAAATCATACAATTATCTTTCATCACTGACTTAGAGTTTATAGATCAGATTTTCTGCAATACCCAACATCGGCGTCATTATCCATTCGCAATCTCAGATTTATAAATCTTATTTTCTCTGGCAGCATCCAAGATATCTTTACTCATAGCTCGATGCGATTCGCACGCCCTTATATATTAATGTACGGAGTATCAAAAGTGTTAGCTCATGAAATTGCACAATCTGTCTATATCGGTCACAAATCTCCTCGACAACGAATTGCATACAATTCATGGTCTGCGGTATCGCTATCGTTTCAAATGTATGAGGGCGATTGAAGGCTCGATCTACTTCAGTAAAATCAAAGAGCGATTCAGTAGCGCAATCTTACCGTATCCTCAAAATATATTTAATTTGCCAAAAAAATATGACAATATCCTTCCTACACAAACAAGTGAAACTCGATGTTGTAGTGGTTAGCGCGTTTGATCTGCGATTGTGGAGGTTAAGCGACGTTAGCAAAGGCCGGTAATCGAATAGACAGTCAAATTTTTTGGCTGACTGATTTAGAAGGGCCACGAGTAGATTGGTCATCCATTAAGCATCCCAGTGTGTGCTTTATCACCACCATTCCGCAGTGGGATCTTCACGCGGGCCCAGTGCGAAATGTAGGGTGGATTGGTTTTATCTATTAAGTATATCTGTAATTTAGCACCACCAATCAGCATTGGGACCTTCATGCGGTAGGTCCGCAGGAATGCTAGGTGGATTGGTTATATCTATAAGAGATATATATGCTTTAGCACCACCAATCCTCATTGGGACCTTCACGCAAGCCCATTTAGGAATCGTCTCAAGCCCAGTGTCAAGTTCTTTACATTAAAAAATTTAAGTTATAAGCGAGGAACATATCGCCATAAGTATTCATAAACCTTACGTTACCCATATTTTGGTATCAGCCGCTTCATACACGCGGCAATCGAATTGACCTTTATGTATCCAATTATTCCAGCTCGGTTTGTCTTTTCTGCTGCTTTTTGATTCCATTTTCCATTCGTCCTTTATCTAAGCCTTACATGGTGATGGCCAGATGACTGGTATTAGTTAGAACAATTAAACTGTGACGTGCTACCTTATCTTTTTAATTACAGGTATCGCTTGGGCTACCTTTTCAATAGAATGCGCCGTTTAATGACAGAACAGAGAAAGGTGATCACATTGGCTCGTTCCCAGAACGCCATTTATGAGACAGAGAGTTTAGACTCGACTGTGAGCCTCTACGAAAGAGTGGTAAGGTTGGACGTCGACATTAGAGATACGACACTCATGATAAAAAGTGAATACGGAAGATATTCTGAAATAGACCATACGTTTCCTACAAGGTCGCCTAGAGGCGTTAGATCTCCCAAACCTAAAACCCGTAAACCGACGACTGTTACCACCACGGTGCCGGCGGAGCCTGCAGAGGAGCGACTCTAGCAAAGACCGTTTCTGCTACCAGCTTGATATATACCATCCAACCTTAATGTCAGATACGCCTTATGTTTTTATATAATGGTGCGGTTAGGTTTTAATCTTATCATTTATTATTAAAAAAATATTAAAATCATTCAAACTCATATGTATTTTTTTAAATAGTGTTTCAGTCACAATCGGATTAGCTTTAAATAGGTTAAAGATGGTGAAGACCGCATCAACCAAAAAAATAATAACACGTGTCTTCCAGCCCTATTTCCAAAGATGACCCAACGAATTATTAAAATCCATAATCAAATGTAAATGTATTTCTTTTGAATACAATCTGAGACATCATCGAGGTCTTTAATCTTTCAACGACAATAACGACTTCTGTGCAGAGTGAGCCATGTTGTTTGTATTTTGTGTAACAATTACTGAATTCCTTTTTATTTCTGCAATAGTTATAAGCGCTAAAGGTCTCTGTGCGAATATTTGGCAGAGAATACTGCGTAGAAGACGCCACCGCTAACTCAAACTATCGTGACCTAACCTATACTCATGTTTAGGATTTGTAAAAATAACAATTATCCTCCTTGAGTACGATAAAAAGACATCGTTGTTACTTTTTGTACAATTTTACAAAACTAAATTATATATATGTAGTTAAAATTGGGTGTAATTCAGATGGTATTTTGTACACTACTCCTGTATTTATAAAATTCGCGTATTACTGTCAAAAACTACGCGCGTTCAATTATACATTACTAGTTAATAGGAATTACGTTACAAAATGTATTCATTCCTTCTAGGCAAGGGCTTACCGTAGACATGTTAATACGCTTGTCTTTTTTTCTGTTTTTATATAAATTCATTTTAAGTGAACTAAATATATTAGACCTACTTTAATTGGTATGTTTTTACATGGTATATACTCGTACGATTGCACGTTAGGTTATCTTTAATTTTTACTATTGAATTTGAACTGTACGCTCAATGTATTAAGAACACATAGAGTACTTTTACAGAATAATTGTAAATTATCTAATTACTATTGATGTACCAGAAACTGATGGCACAAAATAAAAAGAGTAAATATCGATTTTCATATAGCTATATAAATTGTCATGTGTTGACAATTGTCAAAATAGGGTAATTTTTTTAAAAAAAATTTATGAAAATATTATTACCGTTAACTAATTCTATATAAAAATAATTAATTAGTAAATATTCGTTGGCGTGTCGACTACTACAATGAAACGAATTATTAGTGAAGAAGAAGATAATATTTTATAATTTTTAATGGTACGAAACCAATCGAAAGTTAGTTGTACCTATGTGCCCTCTTAAATACCTATAACTGTACATTCAGTCAATTGTAGATGAGTTTATTAAAGATTTCGATGGAGCGCGGCGTGGTTAGAAATACAACCCAGTTGCGTTTTCTTGATTTTTTGAGTTTAATTTTATAGAATGAAATTGTAGAAAATATTGTTTAAATATGTAACGTTAAATAATTTTAACGTTACTACATATTTAAACAATATTATAGTGAGTAGAATCCTAATGTGGTTATTTGTTTATGTTTTCATATATAATTATCAAATCAACTTTCGAGTAGACCAGTTTTTACCGTGGGAGAGCCACGCTACCGGCATGAATGGGCCGGCTCGACCGGAGTGATACCACGGCCTCACAGAAAACCAACGTGAAGCAACGCTTGCGTTGTGTTTCGTCGTGTGAGTGAGGGTACCGGAGGCCCAACCCCTCCCTATTTCCTTCCCTATACCCCTCAACCCTTCCCTCCAAGGCCGGCAGCGCACTTGTAGCCCCTCTGGTGTTGCAGGTGTCCATGGGCGACGGTAATCACTTACCATCAGGTGATCCGTCTGCTCGTCTGCCCCCTATCCCATAAAAAAAAGACCAAACAGTTTTTCCAATTTTTTGGTTACGTCCCTACTATTTAAGAAAGCAACGGGTCACAGACATAACATTATAGCGACGTTTAGTTTGTTTAGAATGAAATAGATTTATTACGTTTAGAAATATTTATTAGGCAAAGTAAAACGTAAAATTGCTTTAGTTTTATATTATGAACAATAAATATATTATAATAACAAAGAAATTTGTAATTGTACGGTGGCCGTAACTTTGAAATAAAATTATATTAAATTTACTACATTACAAGGTTATTTTGAAGTTGAGGCTGACAGATGTCAAATGTGGCCTATCATAATGACCCAAATGTAAGGCCTCTATAGTTAGAGCATGTAGAGTAAGAGGCTTGGCTTGTAATAAGGTCAGAAAACTTTTTGACGATGCGACTCATATGGTGTCATCTTGGCAATATTTTACAAATACATAAAAATATTTTTGGTGGGATTACCTTTGACAGTTATAAAGCGAAATCAAAGAAAGTTTATTATAACTAATAGTGTAAGTTTTATGTTTGCAAACCATATCAAATTAAACATTCAAGCGTATTCCTGTTTCAAACTCACAAATACCATCACAATGGCTCAGTGCTTTAAGTTATGTGGCGTTCGATAGAATAGAATAGAATCATCAGCCTATATTCGGTTACTGCTTCGGACATAGGCTGATGATGATCACTCCCTGCCTTCTACAAGCGCAAGCCTTTGAACTCAAGGTTTGACTTCTTTCATCCAGTTTCTGCGAACCACATTGTGGAGATCATCTTCCACACACTGCGTTTGCCGATCAATGGATAGGATCAAATTGTTTATGTATTGATTACATATATCTCAAAGGTGAATATTAGCATTCCGTCTATAATAACACATAGTTAAAGCAATAGCAATAAAAACAAAACATAAATAAAACATAATTTTCATTACATCGCTATAACATAGCAATAAAGTTTTCAATTCTATTGGCCAAGTTAAAATGAATCCACGTGTACATTACAGCGTCTAAAACAATATAAAATTAATTAGGACAATGAAATACACAGCAATTGTTCTCCTGATATGTGAGTAACTTAATAAATAATAAATCTACCTTCATAAATAGGTAACAATATATATTGAGATATTACTTAAAACTCTTTATACTTAGTTTAACTCCGTAACAAGCATTAAAACCGACTAAGTCGAAAAAAAGAATAACAATAACAAGCCCGTAAAATTTTAAGGTAATATTATTTTTCACATGCCCGATTTGAATGACTTTTATAAATGATTCCAGCAATTTCAAAAATAGATAATATCAAACTAGATGAGGATGGCTACCCGGACATTCAAGATTTATTTCCTGTATTACCTGTACCACAAGGACGCCGATCCCCTGACGTAGATAAAAGCTTTGATTTTGACATCGAAAGAATTGACGTGAACAAGTTCAAGAAAAAGATGGAGAAGTTCGCCATGACGTTAATAAATAATAACACCTTAACAGACACTCGGAGACAGAAAATTCCTTATATTAAAGGGTCATGGGGAAGGGCGCGTTATACTATAATCAAAGCAAAAGTAATGGATCTGATGCTACAAGTGATATACATGGCTCGACACTCCATACAATCAATAGAACGTTCCAAATTCTTCAGTACAAAAGACACAGGGTACCGCATCGCATTCACATACACTCGCCTTAGGAGACTTTGGAGGAGAATGATGGATATCTACACTCATATACACAAGAAAATTATGCATGTGACATTGTATAATACATATTACTATTATTTTAAAACCGAACCATTAATGCTAGCACACATGAGAGTGATAAAGTTGCATACGGACTTTTTGAATTTGTGGTGGGTTCTGATAAAGGTGGACGGGAAGTACACATCTCAGTTGAGAGGCACAAGCACTACGACTAAAACCACGACCACTCGAGCACCAGAGGTAACTCTAGCAAAAAGTTTAGAAACACAGATCACAGACAGACCTACTGGCCCTCCGAGACTACCCACACCACAAAGGACAACCAGAACGCCGCTGACAACCCCAACTGAGGAAGGAAGTCGAGTACACAAATATGATAAGAAATAGAAAAGAAAACGTATCGTATTTACAACAATTACTAAAATCATAGTTTAAGCTGCAATCTGCTAAAGTTCTTCTTCTGAAGTTAAGTTTATTTATTTATTTAATGCAGCCGCTTACTTAATGGTTGCCTGATAGGAATTGCTACTGTTGGAATAAGGCCAACATTTGCATGCAGGTATATTTCTATTTGTTTTAGGTTTGTTTTTAGTGCAATAAAGTGTATTCATTCATTCATTTATTATTTAATAAATCCCATTATTCTGATAAAAAAAAAAAACACTAAATGATCTTTGTGGGAAGGTTCTCTTATATGAGACTAAAAACCGGCCAAGTGCGAGTCGGACTCATGTACGAAGGCTTCAGTACCATTATCCATTAAAAAAGTAAAAAAAAACGTTCGTTTTTTTCTATGAACTTGTTCGAAATTTTTAATTATAATTGGTCAACCATTAGTCGTAAACTCTTTAAGCCAAACTTAAGTGTGATAGTTTTCCTTTTAAATATATAGGTTTGAACTTTTACCAACGACCGTTTATTTGGTAGAGAGACACTTGACACTAACGCAAATTAACTCTATAAAGCTTAATAAGTCGTAAACGTGTAACGATGTGCCATGCCATCGTTTGTTTTCCTAGGTTTCAGTATGCAAACTTATTGTTTTTGAAATTCAACATCATTTCATTTTATTATTCGTCTTTCGTAATTTAAAATTTTGACTTATCAAATATACTCTTTATGGATGTCAGTTCGTAAGAAATTCTTCTATGCACAAAATGAAAATTAATATACATTATTAATCGTATTAATTTTATTATGATATTTTAAAATAATTTATTGATTGTGATAAAGAATGTGATATTGTGATACAAATTATATAACATATGTACTAAATAGCAATCTGTATTTTGGACCATCCAAGAGTTTAACTAGAAGCCCGACAATGGGTATATATTCGTTTATTTGATAATTTGTATGTATTAGTTAAGTAACTTATTTAATTTTTGTTTGTTACAGTTTCTTATTTACCCTTATATAATTAATAAATCTATACTCAAGCTAATCAGCCTTATTAATTGACCCAAGCACCGAACCCGTCACAAACGATTTACTAAATGAAAAAACGGCCTTCCCACACTCCCAATGTTTTTGAAAGACGATGCCCCACAAAATGAGCAAGACGAAAAAATTATTGTCGCCCCTACTTTACATGTAGGGAGGTACAATTTTTTTTTTAATTTGTTTTTCCATTTTTTTACTTACTCATGTCAATTTACAACTTTCTAGTGTTTGAATTTTTCTTTTAATAAAACACTTGTCATACGTGCAGCTTCTTTATTTTATATCGTTCCAAAAGTACTTCTTACATTTGACATTTTACCATAGAGCCTAATCATAAACACATAAAGCACATCCTACGTAACATCTAGTACCAATAATTTTTAAACTAAGCCGCGGAAGGACGGACGAACAAACGGACATGGTTCCTTGTTTACTGTTTACAAACATACAGTTCAAATTGAAAACCTCTTTTTTCGAAGTCGATTGTATGTCGTACATACACAAGTAAATTGTCTCTTTTTTTTAAGTTGGATAAAATGATCATCAATTTATACTCCTTTTATTAGTCTATAAATTGAAATATTTATATCTTAAAACTACTGAAACGTTTTAATAAAATCTGTAGTATTCCCGCAGTTGAAATCTAAGCTTATTATTATTTAAACTTCATTTTATACATACAGAGATCGGCGATACGAGAAAACCCGGATTGTTGCCCGTCTCTGCTCACATAGTATTTTGGTCACTACAAAATCGATTGGCTTAAGTATAGTCGGAAAAATCAACAAACGTTAAGCATTGAACGATATGGTGGATAATAGATGGCAAATCAAGAAATGGCGGCATATCGTGATACGCCATCGCTTGGCCCACGATATGTACAATAAAACAAAGTGGCTTCCCGATATCTGTTCGCTAATTATCTTTTGACATTTGGCATTTTTTAAATTACACAATGGATTTTAACGGTTTTCTTCAATATACTGAGTAAATCAAAAGGAAGATTTATATTTATAATACAAGACCATGCGGGCATAACCGCTGACGTAAAGCAAAGCATATATAAACTATCATTTAACGAAATACAAGTTAGGTAAACGCAGGTATTACCGCGGTAGACGAAAACCTGCAGGTATCATCGAGGTATGTGATATAATTGTAGTTTTAGGCAATTGCAGGCATTTTTTACTCAAAAAGTTAAACTTTTATAAAAGATCAATTTATATTCGTTTGAATGGATGTAGCACACTATGCACAACAAATCAGAAAAACAAAAAAAACGATTAGTTTGCGTCCAGCCGGTGCTAGAGCATGACGTCCATATAAACGCAAATCACCATACATAAGCGCACTCAATATTTTGCTAATGATTGAAGGGTCTAAAAGAAACCATTCTTTTACTTTTACACAGATTCAAACTAGTTTACAAGGTGGATTATATTTTCAGCCATTATTGTAATTATTTAATTATCCTTTATATTGCATTATTTTTCTACAATAAATAAAAATAAAATACCGTGGTGATAGCTACACAATTATCTTCTTGAATTTATTGACCGCGGTATACACGGTAATAGCATAAGTGAATACTAATAGTTTTATTTTTTTTAAAGAAATTTCTATATAAAAGCAACCCAGATGGTTTGGTAATTCGTTCAGATAATTAGGTAATTATCGTGAAAAACAATTTCCGCGGTATAAAAATTACGTAAGAACTCTTATTTTGTTGTCCTAAATTAAACCATGAAGAATTAACTTTGTATGAGAGCACTAAATTAATACGACATGTAACCATAACCCAGTCTGTATTTTAAACTTAATTCAAAAATATTGTTTATGTTTAGGTAACTTTATTAGTCATCGTTTAAACTTTTGTATTGTTAAAAGTTAATCAAATTTTATCCCTTGGAATTACATTATTTACACTATCGCGGATGAAGCTATCACCGATGGTGAAAACAAGTTATAAATTAGTAAGTAATACCTTGTTCACAAAGCTATCACCGAGTGTTATTACTCGGTATTAACTTCACTATAGAATTCTACTACCGATTGATTATTCTTGAGTTTAAGGTTCTCTAGAAAGAAATAAGTACCTAATGTGAAATTCAAAACCCTACTTTCACCTATACCTACCTATTTTTCTAACTCAGGATTGTTTAATTTTTACGTAAGAATCGTTCTATCATTGTAAATAAATTTTATCTACTATGGTGCTATTGTACGATTGCCACACATTTAGCCAAACATTTAAGGCTTCCATTTGATTTTAATACAAAAATACGTTTTTTTGTTTTAGTTATTGTTCCCATAGATTAGCAAAAAATCATGGACAGCGTGTACCTATTTTACAGCTCTGGGAATAAATAAATAGATTTGAAGTTCAGTTTGCTCAATGTCTACATTTTTTTATTTAAGCTTTTTACAGCATTTGTAAACCACGAAGGTTTGTACCAATGTTGTTTATATATATATACTATTTTTTTAGGTTTACATCAATGGCACACACCTTCATTCATACATGTACAGTCAGCAACAGGTCAACGTTTGCCACACAGTCCGTTCTGTGTGAGTTTTAACCAAAAATCTCCTAATGATGTCTTCAAAAATAGTGCCTCGTAATTTACAGTAGTTTTCCTAGGCGGGAATCGAACCACGCATCTTCCAAAATCCGGGCGGCTACCCAATTTTTTCGTTGCTTTTATAAACAAATATGTTCAATATAACATGTTAATCATACGAAAAAAATAAGTTTCTATTAAATATATATTTTATTATTCAGTATTATTTGTTTATTATTATTATCATTTATTTATTAAAATTATCAAGACTATCAAAGGTGACAGATAAATTCAATTGTAATAATAATATAATCAATTCTAATAAAGATTTTGATAAAAAACTTTATCAGAGTTAAAAATTCTTGATTAAAGAGTAACTTAGAGTAATTAGTGTTTTACTAAAGGTTTTGTACGGAACCAACATACCTATTATTTTTCTACCCTCGGTTATAGAATCACGAATCGCGGTATAAGCTGCAAACACTTTATTAGCATTATTAGCCTCGGTAATAAATAGCTTCATACGGATTTTTATGTCTAATATTTTTTTACTTTACGTATTTCCTCAAAAACTATCTACATATTTATAGATTCCCAAAATTCAAACCTCTACGTATCAGAAAATATATACTAGTAGCTGTGTTTACGATCGGTAATTCCTATTTCGAAAGTTTAAACCTTAAAGCCTTGATTTTACCTCGGTAATAAGTACCTGCTTTACCTTAATAGTTGTCACTGAACGTAAAAATAGTGCCTTACCTCAGATTTCTGTAAATCTGCATGAATTTATATAAAATTTGAGAATTAAACTCGTATTACCCTTCACTTCAAACCCGACTAAGTCGCAAGTTTGTCTTCTGCCGTACTGGCCATTTCAAATCAATTTTGTCTTTGGATGATAATTTTATTTTCAATTTGTTTTTTTTTTAACATTGACTTTTTTCGGATCCTGCTCGACAAGTGTAAGCGCTCAGCAAGTTGGTTGGGCCCTAGTTCAGTACCTAAACAATGCCATAAATGAAAACTTACTTAGAAAAGTGATGGTCACTGTTTGGTGGTCTAACGCGGTTGTAATTCATCACAGCTTCTTATAAAACGGGACGAGCATTACTGCAGATGTGTACTATGAAGAACTGAACACAATAATGAAGAAGCTCGCACGTCTCCAATCAGCTTTGGTCAATCGTTCGGCTCCACTGCTCCTGCACGACAACGTGCGACCTCATACTGCACAGTAGACAGTCTCCAAGCTACAAAAATTTAAATGTAATAAAACATTTAAAGTACTTATAATCAAATTTTTTTGTAACAGTAATTGACTTGAAAAACTTGTAACGCGTAAAAATATGTATATTTCCTCGTCTCCGTTTTTATTAGCGCTACAAGCTTTTCAGTTCAATTACTGTTAAAGAAAGTTGTGATTAAAAGGACTTAAAATCTTTACAATTTATTCATTTACGTTTTATTGTGCATAAATAAAAGCTTGTTATTACAAAACTATTTTTGTTTTTATTATATTATTTCATTTATTTAAAGCAAAACTGCCAAATAATAAAAATAAACATCTCAAGTAGAAATAAAGATGATTCAATTTCATAGTTTGCATGTGGGTGTAAAAATTTACTTTTTAATATCAATTGAAAACCACACTTGATATTTTAAAAAGTTTAAAGTTTTTTTTTCTAATAATAATGAAACTATATTTATTTAAAGTGTTAAATTATGACGATACACATCGAAAATAAACCGTTAGCAGGTGTTTATCAATAAACTTCTTTTTTCATTCGGAAAATTATGCTGAAAACTTTTATTGTAGCTCATTTTAAAGGTTTAATATTTTAATGCTAATGTTTTTACCATAAAACATATTTTTTTTTTTTTGAGTTATTGATGAAAATTAATCACAAAATGTGCTTTTCTGATATTTTTCATCGCGAATAACTTGAAAACTATTAGATTGTCAGTAAAACTTTATTCTTTATTTAATGTTTATATTTCGATTACTGGGGTATTTTTTAATTTTCAGCTACTGTCCACATTTGAAAATTTTTTATGCAGTTTTAGAGAAGACGGAGATGAATCCGTTGAATATAATGCAAATTGATAATTAGAAATAAGTTATTAGTTTGTCAAATTCCCAATATAACAAAATACTGCAGATAAATAGTCACATGAAACAGCATTTTATCTAATATATAAATTTTGGTCGGCCGTGCGAATAGTGTTGCCCAAATGCAAGAACAAGACGAGACTTGGCCAGTCTTGGTCTTGGTCTTGCGCCAATACACCTGGTCTTGGTCTTGCGCTCCCAGTCTTGGTCTTGGACTTGGTTTTGCAGCAAGAGTCTTGCAAGTCTTGCAATTACCTATTAGACTATTGCTATTTATTAAAGTTTACTTTAGATCTTAGGAATTAACATAGCCGTAGTAAAGAACAATCAGATTAATAAATGTCTGAAGATTTGATAAAAAATTCGATTACTGCCACATGGTTATCAACTGAGCTATACGCCGTTTTCCATGGGAGTAACTGTTTCTTAATAAACATTTACGCTTACATGTGCTAAAACATGTAAAAAACAAATTATTTATAATAAATTGACTGTATTTTAAAGAATCTCTCTAGAAAGAATTTAATTAAAGAGTTTTACGATTTATCATTTATTTCAATAAAAAATAAAATACAACACAAATAAAATAACGCAATAGTACACAACAGCTTTGTCATTAGGTTCTGTTACTTTATATCAATTCTTTTGACCAAGAATTAATACAAAGTAACCATCTGGCTGACTCATCACTTAACCTATTTCTATGTTTTCTAATTACTAATGATGCTTTAGAAAATAATCTCTCAGCAGGTACTGAAGTTGCAGGTATTAAGAGAAAATCACGGGCCATCTTCGATAAAGTCGGATACTCTGTCTCCATGCGTCGTCCACCAATCTAAAATGTCTTCCGAGCTGGCAGCTCTTGGTTTTCTCAGGTACTCCTCCAACTCGTCTATCACTAAGCCTTGAAGACAAGATCCAGATGACGTCGAGGGACATTCATACAGTTTATCAAAGTCTATTACGTCTTCATCTTCATCACATACCTTATTTTCTTTTCTTGGTAATTCCAGAGATTTGTTCAGTGAGTGTAGACTGTAGTATTCTTCATAAAGTTCATTGAACTTGCGCAGGCTTTCTGTTTTAAGTTGCTTCCCCCATATTGTCAGGTCAAAAGTCTGAGCCTTAGCCTTGGGTCTAAAATTAAAGAAGTACAATAAATCCAGTTGCTCTTCTTATAATGTTTAAGCATTTTGTCTCGAGCTGCTTGGAAAGCCAGAATGAGCCTTTCATCCACTTCAGATCGATTAGGTTTCTCATCTAACTGTTTTACCATGGATTCAATTTTATCGAGCAAGAGATTGAATGATACAATGACTAGCGGTAATGTAACATATTTTTCTCCACCAAGTTTTGTATATTAAAAGTTTAAAGTTTATTAGAAACTTATGTATTTTTTCGAGTATTTGCCATTCACTAGCTGTGATTTGAAAATCATTCAATTCGGTGACAGAACTGCACAATATGTTAATGCCCGCTCTCACTTTTAAACCAAATCCAATCATATCATGTGTGGAATTCCATCTCGTTGGACAGTCAAGAATGGGATTCAGATTTGATGGCACGCCAGCTGCTTCACAAGCAGACTGAAACTTCTTCTTCACTATTTCACTTCTTTTTATTTTGCTGGAAATACTGCGTAACTTTGTTACAGATGTACGCGAGTTAGCAATATTTGGTGCATATTCTTCATCTTCCTCAGTTTCGTCTGCATAGTCTTCATACTGCTGATCTTGCGCGTTAGTGTCAGTCTCACAGTGTAATGTTAAGGTCTTTAATAAATCTTGTACACCAAGGTTTAAAATGTGAGCAAAGCACCGGAAATGTTGATTGTCTGAATCAAAGTGTGGTGGCAGCTGTTTGCCTAGTTCATACATAAATTTAGTATTTGCAGTTGCGTTGTCGACCGTGATACCTTGTATTTTATCAATTATGTCATATTCCAATAAACATTCGTGGAAAATCGTTGCAATATCTTGCCCAGTATGTCGACCGCGTGATGGTATAAAATCAAGAACTACAGATCGATACTTCCATTCGTTGTCTATATAATGCATAGTAACCCCGTAGTAACTCCTACCAGCAATTGACGTCCACCCATCAATGGTAAACGACATTTTAGATGATAATTATTGAAGTCGTTCCTTGAGATTCAATTGGAGCTCTTCAAATCGCTCTTTGACTTTCCTTCTAAGTGTGGACCTTGTCACTACTGTTTTCCGACTTAAATAAAACAATAAATCTTGTGTTATTATTTAAAACATACTAGGTTTGAGCGTTTAGCAGGAGGAGGTTTGTTGTTGTTAAATCTAAAGTTGTACTGTAATTTACCAAAATAAAGTACTTAGTTGTTACAGGCCGATTATAAAAACAAATGAAAATATGGGTGCTTTATAAAAAATATTTAACCACGATAATTACATACTTAATATGTGTTATGTAATTGTGAGATAAGTAAATTTATTCTTACCTGTCCACTTCTTCCAGCAGTTACGAAAAAGCTTGCGATATCTCCGCTTAATTTTGGTTTAACAGGAAGAAATATTTGTGATTCCTTTTTGTGGAAAGATATTAGATGTTTCCTTAAGCCTGAAGTGTTATTATACACCGAACTGTTATTCCTAACTACTCCGTGAAATAGCGCTAAGTCCTAGCTGCAAGACGCAAGAGTCTTGCGGGAGTAGTCTTGTTCTTGCTCAAGTCTTGCATGGTCAGTCTTGGTCTTGGTCTTGCTAAAAATACGCGGTATGGTTCTTGGTCTTGGTCTTGCAAAAATGCAAGACCAAGACCAAGACTGCAAGACCAAGACTGAATTTGGGCAACACTACGTGCGAAGGCACGTTCACAAATTCACAGATGACAAAAAAAAAATAATCGAGCTTCTCCGTGCTTCAGAAGGCACGCTTGTACCCCAGCAGTGGGGATAATACGCTAGTGATGATGAAAAGGCAAAGAACCCGAGTTAAGCCACCGTTCCCTTTTTGACCTTTGGAGACTTCAAGCGTTACAACTATATTATACTTATTAAAAAATGGAAATTTCTTATCCCTGTCTCATTCGTGATAGGTTAATGCAAACAAACAAACAAATTTTTCATCTTTATAATATTATAAATATAGCCGTTATTGCTCGAACATAATTTAATAACCTTGATAATTTCGTTTCCAATTACACTACAGCCGTTCAGAACTTTTAATAGAATCATAATCATTTGTAAACAAGAGTCCACCAAATGCACGCTTGTGGCCAACGTAGTGAATGCCTGAAATGGTTCCTTTATTACTTTTTCTTATATCAATATTAGGTGAGTACTATTTAATTTTGGGTTTATACCCGAAGTTGGGATTGGATCCAAAATTGGGATTGGGATTCTTATTTACACGATATTTCTTTGATAATATATTGAAAATTAGTTAGATTTTTCATGTTCTTATACCCCTGAATGCGTACTGATTTTAATAATGACTATTGTTTGTATTACAATATGACGTATATATTTTGGTAGTTTTTGTATTCTAGTATACATGTACAATGAGTTAAATATATGAAATTTAAGTTTTGTTAATTTTAATGCAGACCTTCTATGCACTTAAGTTGTTGGGTACTGGAGTTCCATAAGCTAGTTTGCTCTATTCTGCACAAATGAATGTTCTAGATGACCCATATCAAAAGATAGTACTGCACTATTATAAATCGTTTATTAACATATAAACAAGTGTTATAAAGAGATTGCATATTTCTCTACATTCTACATCTTATATATATAGTTTATGATTTTTCCTTACTCTTAATGTTGCTAAAGTACAAAGTAGCTAATGCAAACAATTCAGTTAAACGTCTTTATACTAATCTAGTCTGTATGGTATCTGTCTTACAGATAGCACGAAACAAGAATACATATACAACAGGAAACCGGTACCTAAAGCAGAGGTGCTCGACGAAATACTATCTAATTTCTTGAACAGGTCTGACTTCACCGGATCCCTGTTCAGCTACCTGACTGGTAACGAAGATTTCGGCGACCCGGATAACCTCGACGTTTGCGTATTAAACGCGAACAACGTCTTTAAAATCATATCCAAAGCCAAAAAACAGTACGAGCCGTATTTCAGAAGAACAAAACAAGAAGGTCTCAAACGCAATCCAAAACTTGCCGAACAAGTACTTGATCTAATGAAGCAATCAATATACGCCACCAGGTTCAGAATGCAAGATACAAAACGTTTCAGAAAAAAATATGCTAACGATGCACGATTCCAGATAGCCGTATTGTTCGGTGCATTGATGCAAGTAAATCTGAAGATGGAAACAATATATAGCATATTGCATAAATTCGTGCCCCAAATTCACATGATATGGAGTGTGATACTATATGAGAAGTTACTAGCGGCTCATGTGGACGTGCACAATTTGGTCGACAGAATATTTTATTTGCACTCAAAACAAATGGAGATTGAAAGTGGTGCGACACGTGTCGTGCTATTCCCAACTTTATATAATCCACGGACTCGGTCACGCAGAAGATTATCGCGTGGTACTCTTTATAGGGCTACAAGGTTTAATTGGTTCCAAGAATTGAACTTGACATACATGACGACGCAACCGCCGGAGACTACTTCTACTACAAGGAAAACTGTTCGCCCGATAGTAGGATAATGACTAAATTTGGATCCAACCTTCAAGTAAGGGGGAAAGTGGAACTAGAAACCTAGTCAATTTTATGACTGTATGTTTTATTGTTTATGTGTCAAACACCTCTTTATACTAAGGTAGCGACCTATGCATATAAAATGCCTACGTATTTTTATTTGTATAACAAACAGAATCGTATGACGGTATTTATTTGGAAGAATCACTCTTAAAAGTAACATTATGAATGCTGCATCTATATTTACCCTGACACTGGTGTGATTATATTAGCTCCGTTTGGTATATTGAGCAAAGGTACAACTACCCGATCGTGGCACGGACTGTTTGATTAATTATGGAAAATGTTTTAAATTATTACATAATAAGCACATTATATTAAAATTTCGGGGATAAAACAAACCTTATCATACTAAAATCGTCATCAGGAAGCATATTTACTAGCATGTGACGTCATCGGAGTTGCAACAAGGCGGTTTCGTTTCAGATAAAATATAAAAAAATTGGTAATAACACATATTTCGTTGAAAATATGTGTTATTACCAGTGGTCGGAATTAGGTAGAGTTATTCATGTACTTACACTGATTTCATACAGCGAAAGAATAAAATGGATATGCCTCAAATCCCGAGATTAATTTTAAAGAGCAGAAAAATCCCGCGATTTTTTAAATAAAAAGTTATTTACTTTTACACAATTTAAACTACTGCACGCACGACGTTGCCAAACTTACGAAATAAAGAAAGCCCGGGAAGGTCCACATTAATATCAACATTTCGATGCAAGTACATAAATAACTCTACCTAATTCCGACCTCTGGTTATTACGCTATTATCTTATAGGGTGACCACAAGTTTTTGACTTAGTAGAATAAAACTAAAGTTTATACCAACAGAAATGTAACTAGGAAAACGTATCTTCAAATTTATTTATAGCATATGGGTATCAAATTAAAACTCTCCAAGCCATAGTGCAACTTGTTTCTTTTATTTTTATTACACTTTTAAAGCTTTTTTTTATGTTTTATTGTTTTAGAACAGCGATAAGATCACCATTTGTTACACTTTGATGTATTGTTTAGTTTGATAAGTTTATGAAGATATCTGAGGTGTTGACAATAATGTGTTATTATTATTAGTTACTGTGTCCTTTATTTTGTAAAAGAAATTAATTATTTTATCAGAGTATTGTAGTTGAATTTTTCCACTTAAACATCATTACACTCATTTAAAAACATTTGCTTATTGTAATGAAAGCTGAACTATACCATTTCTGTGGGCTCATTTCGCTTGTCAATGAGCACAAAATGAGCCTGCAATATTCTGAATGATCTACAACATAATTAACTAGATTGGCGCTAGTGGCTTTGCCCACGTGATTAGTTTGTGTAACTAAATTAAAAGTAGTTTTCTAATTAATAATAAATCTTTGAACATATTGTTATTCTATATTGTTTAATTTCAAAATAAAAACGATTGCGGTTTGTTCTACGATTGTTTCTAATTATACCACTTTATAAGGATCATGTGGTATTCACGAATATATATAAATAAATAAAATAAAAGTAAACGTTTATTATGAAACAGACTGACACGGAGATAGCTCAGTTGTTCCCAGCTCAGTGCAGTAGTTGATGCTCAGTTACAGCATCGACAAGGATGACTTAGGTCGTGGGTTCAAACCCCACTCAGTGTCGGTTGATTTTTCCAATTACTCATTAAATGTGTAGATATTAATTAATAACGTTGGTTGGTTATTTACTACGGCTATGATAATTAAATCTCATAAATTCAAGTAACGTTTAAAAATAGCAGTGGGATAATTAATAGGTAATTGCGATACTGCGACTCTTGCTGCAAGACAAAGTCCAAGACCGGAAACGCAATGCCAAGACCGAGACCGGGTGTATTGGCGCAAGTGGAGCTGAACCCGGCGGGTTCCTTGCCGGATTCCTGGTCTTTATTTCTACTATTATATAAAAAATATATATTTGATAAATTTTGCATTCACTGTGCTAAAATGGATGCAAAATTCAATAAATACATATTACCTATTAGTTTGCCAATAAAACAAAAAATGTAATTATATATTTATATGCTTTACTAAATCATTTAAATAAACAATACCTGAAGAAAATAATAACAAAGGAATGTGTCCAAAAACCACAAATAACGACTAAAAACATAATTTATGTTATGCAAATCCATAATCATTAAAATAATTCTTATTTTAATGCGTATTTAATTTACTCGATTTTATTGTAATTAAATTTTATAATATTACAAAAATAAATATAACAGGCTTAGGGGCAACTTCTCATAATCAAACTCGTCCCAATATTTTGAATACACACTTCCGTATTGACATGTAACATAAAGAGTAAAATGTATACGTATACGTATTATTATCGTGAAAATGGGGCAAGTTGTATTCTGACAATTAGCCCCCCCAACTTATCTAAACGATGTAAACGTGAATCGATTATTGGTTAATTAATTGACTTCAAAGAAGTGGGAATTGTTTAATACAAATTAATACTAAATCTATTAAAGTTATGCTTAAAGAAAGACTTGATATTATTTACTACAAAATTAAAGCGCAATCATCGTGAATATTTCAACCAAAAGCTCAAATAATCGTTTTTATTTGAAAAAACATTAACGTAACCGTATCCCGATTTTAACTGGAGTCATTTATGGGAAGACAAAACTACTAGAATAATTAAACAACAAACATCTATGTTTATCTTGATTTTACACCAACATCATAATTTATTATTAAAATATCAATAGTACCTACATAAAGTTGGTCTTATTCACATAGCTAAAAATATATAAATTAATTAGGTACTCGATCAAAATTATTTATTATGTATGTAAAATGATTATATACAAATCAGGGTTCGCAAAAATCAGATATTTATAATAAATAATCAAATACACGATATTCTACATTTACCCGATACGTATTGAATAAAGGTACAAATGGAAAGTTGCGATTGTTAAGCTGATAGTGGCTTTTTTAAATATTTGTTTATTTATTATAAAATAATTAAAAAGTAGTACATATATGTACAAGGATTCCCAGGAATACTCGACTTATTACCTACTTACGATAATCAACCTTATGTGAACATAAGCAATAAATTTTAAGAAATAATAAAGACACAAACACTCCGCGTTCATATTAAGGGGAAAACTTACTTACTTCTAGTACTACTCGTACAAATTAATATGACACGTGACGACCTATTATATTTCTCTGAAAAACGATATTTATTCAATTATCGAAAATCTAATTCGACTCTAAAAAACGCGATATTCGATAACTTATAATGGAACACAGATAGAGCCTGATGTTAACTAAAATTGTAAGAACGATTTGTTATTTTCCGAATTTTCGTTCGAGGACAAATAAAATAGGGCCTCAGATATCATGTTAAGTCGTACGAATAGAAAATAAGATTCCTACTTCGGACCACTGGTGCCAGCGTTACATTGGGTTGCTTAATTTTCTAGCTGAGACTCAATAATACTCAAAGTAATAATAAATATTGTCAATATGAATTGATATATGTCAATATATCGATATATATAAAGATATATATCCGTTAATATTAATCAGCGAACCCTGACACAAATAAATAAAGCCTCTTTTTGCCGAAAATATTAGATAAAATAAAAAATGAGAGTTTACGCAAAGAGAATCTCGTTTTATCACTCATTTATTATATTCTTAAAATTATCACATTTTAAAATGGCGACCTAAACACTAAAATAAATTATTAGTAATTACACAACAACATTTTATTCAAAATAACAAAGCGATCTTAATAATACATTATCTAAACGTTTCTAATTCTAAAATATAAAGGTCCCTACTACGACCACTAGATGACGGTTGAAGCCACATCTATATACCAGGGGATTTTTATAGAACTAATATAGGAGCTTACGTGCTACTTAATTTTGCCTTTTAAAATCTCTTTATCTATAAGTACACAATATTATAACTATAGCCATAGTTTTATCATTTGCAATTATATATTTAAGAGGCCTATTACATATTATATAATCAGCAAATTCTACAAAATATCAATTAGTTAAAAGTTTCCCCTGTGATCTTTTAACTTACTACATTTTTTAGTAGAGCTATTTACAACATTATCGGACGTAATCGCCTAATTCAAAAGAATGACTAATTTCAACGATATATAACTAAGTTGCTTATTATAAGCATCTTAAAATATAAGCTAACTAATAATAAAACACCTAAAATATTTCAATTAACTAACGGATATAGAAGACTTGATATTTCGGAGCAATTTCAAACATCTTAAATATCAAAAACTCATCTTATGAGCAAAGAGTTTTAATAAATTATCTTTTAGTAACACTTTGTCCACCATTCTACTCCTTTCTTCACAATTACATTCATCCTATTATGAAAAAAAAACTTTTTTTCGTTTAATCAGTATATTATTAAAATTGAATGTATATATTGAGAATTAAGTAAAATACATAAATATCTTACTTTGGTGAGTAAACATAAGTTAGCTAAAGCACTCCTAAATTGAAGACTTTACTTGAATAGGTACTTTTAAATATTTACCACACAAAAATAATTATAGTCAGAATCCTTCTTTACATCTAATTGACAATTAATTTCAAAATAACAAAATTTCAGTCAAATACTTTATTGTTTACCGTGTAATTAGTTAATTAGTTTTTAATATTTTTTTATGAACTTTAAATAGATTAAATGGTAGAAAATTATACAATTTCCCGTCATATTTCCGTTATAGATTAAAATATAATTTTAGTAAACATCAATCTCTAATAAGTCTATTATAAGAATATCTACTATAAAGTGAATTAATAAGAAAAGCGGCAATTATAAATGATGTATTATCAAATTTGACATAAAAAAGGTGATTAATAATCGATAATTTACTTAGTACAATCAAATTTCAAATCACTTGGTCAAATGAAATCGTATCATCGTTAAATACCTACTTGAAGTCGCATGGATCAAATGAAGTCATAACAGTAAAGTACTTCAAGGTACTTGGCTGCAGACGGTCGGGATCCGAACGGGTGACCCTCATTGTGACTTCGGTTTATGTTGCGGAGCTTCACACGCGAATATGAACGACCATTCCGCCTTCTTCTGAGCATATGAGATAAATTCATCTGAAAAATAGTTTTTGTTATTAAATAATGTGATTATAATAAAAAGTAGGATATTGTTTTAGATTTTATTTAACCAAATATATAAAAATGTGGGGCAATTTGGATATTTGTACAGCTTTGGTACGATAAAGTAAGATTGTTTTTTTTTATATACTTATATTGTTTGATTATAAAGGGGCCGGTTAAACTTTGATTATTCGGATAATGTGAAAAATTAAGTATGTTAAATATTGTATGTATGTGTAATGTTAAATTAAAGCTAACCTCGTCACTATTATTATTTAGTGAATACCTATAGTAATTATAGATAATCAATCACTTTATTGGAACTTGCAACGCGTTTCTAATAAGGTCCATGGGTATAGGAAGGGAAGGCGCTTGAATAGTCTGATGCCATTCCAGAACTAACATAAAATTGCTTCTTAGCAATAAGGCCGTCTGTCCTATTTGATTTTTGTGTTCTTTTTTTTCTAATTATATTGGTGTTTATGTAGGTACAATGATTAAAGAATAATTCGTCCATTAATTAATTATCCCGACAAAAACTTTAAGTAATTATCTTCAGGTGACATAGCAGGTTTCTATTGGTGTGACCAATTCTATTTTGCATGACCGGATAAGTTGATATAAATTAATAATATTATTTTTATAAATCTTATTTGAAAATTACTTAACACATGTATTTAATCTTTTCATGTAGATTATCTTGATATGTATAATTATCTCACCGTATGTTATATATCCATCTTCGTCTATGTCTACCTGTCGGAATGTATGTCTCGCTTGTTCGTTGTTGAGCGACAAACATTTAGTAGCAATCTCTTCAAAGTTGACCGCACTTACTCGACCTGAGCCGCTACTATCGAACAACTGGAATAAACCGAATGAATCGAATAGATAGGGCCTAGAAAGAACAAATATGGTAATACTAAACAAAGAAAAAAACTAATACGCATACGACATGTGCTACCTTTCCATTCAAAAATCAGATCAGGTCCATTCCATATCGATGTAGTTAGTAGCAAGTTTTATAAGCATAAAGAATTTCAGTTCAATCGACAACTGGGAAGTGGGTTAAAATTCGCTTGCAAGGTTTAACCATCACAAACTAAAACGCCAAGTTAAGTGGGGCTCGATGATCTGATGGAAGATTCATTACGGGATTGCAGAACTTCAGAACTGTGGTGAGAACTGATAAATATATAAAATGACATTCAACCTTGCACACTCCGACGGATGATCCGACGCGTACCAACGCATACTTCCGTAAAACGTTTGTCTGATCTTCCATCAGATTTGTCTCCAAAAGCTTGTAATAGTGGCATACCTTAAAAGCCAGTGTAACCAGCTGCGTATACGGCGCATGTTGTAACGACAGGAAAGCGGCCGTCAACAAGTAATCCGGGAAGTATATCAGACCACTGGATCTCTGCCAACACATTATATATATATATATATATATATATATATTTACCACCATTAACTACAGTAATAATAGTCTAATGAATCATTGACTTTTCAATCACTTAATTTTAATTACAGCTTAATCGGAATTTAATAAGTACTGGTTCTTAACTAAAATAAACTTCTATACTTTCAATCATTTCTTTTTGTCCTCTGCTATACTGTTTGTTGCTATTATTTAAGCTAACGGATACAAAGAGGCACATGTCTTAAAAGTCGCTGAGTCGTGTAAAGGATCGAGAGTTCTGCTTGAGTGGGTCTCCATCCACATAGACCACAGGCTAGTCAAATCGCAGGTGGCAAACCCACGAAACCCCTCTCCGATGCACCTTCACTTTTGGAGGGATCTAGCAGAGACTGTGCCACTCCATGCACATATTAATGAACCGCCGAGTTATAACACTTACCTGCGTGTAGAGGTCGGCGAGCCTGGGCGCGCGCGTGTCATGCGCGAGGCCGAGTCGTTGCGTGAACTGGTCGCAGGTGAGCCACCTCGCCCCGCGCACCCCGCCCATACTACCCGACAACAGCTGCAGCTCCAACTGCGACCGCTCCAATCTGAATGTTGTCATCATTAATATAACTGTAACTCTACAATATTTAGCGACTTGTTTTACGCCCTGTTTTAGAGCCGCGATGTTTAGTAAGTTTAATGGTTGCAATATATTCAGACTTTAACTATGATGAAATAAGGAAAATGTGTGATTTTCATTTGTTTTTCTTACTGTCAAAATGAGCGAATCTAATGAAGAAGTTCGATACATTTTAAAATTACATTAAAGAAAAGGTAAAAATGCAACTCAAGCCGTGAAAAAAATTGTGACGTTGATAGACCTTGTGCAGTTTCTGTGAGAGTAGCACAAATATGGTTTAACTGAAAAAGATCAAAGGTCGGTCAGGCTTCACAGACTGTGGCAAAACTCGGGTAAACTCGCAGCAAGGTGATGCTGTGTGTATGGTAGGATTGTAAGGGCATTATTTATTATGAGCTGTTACCGCATTCTGAACTCTACTGCGAATTACTGATGAAAGTAAAGCAAGAAGTGAAGAGAAAGCGGCCAATTAATCATAAGAAGGGGTGTGGTTTTTTCATCATGATAATGCTAGACCTCACACATCTTTGGGCACTCAGCAAATATTAGGAGAGTTTAGCTCGGGCGGTGTTAATTTCATTCGCCGTATAGTCCTGACCTTGCACCTTCAAATTTCCACCTGTTTCGGTCTCTTCAGAATTCTTTAGGCAGTGTCAGATTAACATCACGCGAGGACTGCCAAACCCACTAGTCGAAGTTTTTTAATCAGAAGCCCCAAAATAACTATAGCAATAAGATGCCTACAAGATGGCAAAAAGTTATCGAACAAAACGGTACCTACTTTAGTTAAATGTAAAGTCAAAGTCAAAGTCAAAATAATCTTTATTCAAATAGACTTCTTAAAAGTACTTTTGAATCGTCCAACATTTTTTCCCTACCACTCGTTCAGGACGTCTTTTAGCTGATAAGAAGAACGAGCAAGAAACTCACCAGCTCTAATATGAGTAATGACATTTACAAAAACCATGTCATTACCAGATCAATACATTATAAACAGAGATAAAAAAAAACTATGGTCTTATAATAATAACATAATCATTTAATAATAATAGAAACAAGATAATGAGTTTAGAAGTAATCACCTATCCAGTTGCTGGATCATCTCAAGTCCAAGCGTTCTTATCTGTTATATAATCGGATACCTTATAATAAGCTTTTTTAATAAGTATTTTTTTAATAGTAGATTTAAACTGCATGATATCTAATTGTTGTATTTTGCTTGGGACCTTATTGTAGAAGCGCACACAAAGACCCTTGAAAGAGTTATTAACTTTTTGCAGTCTAGTAACAGGCACCGTTAATTTATTTTTATTTCTTGTATTAAAATTGTGTACATCACTTTTTATAGAAAACAAACTAATATTTTTACGAACGTACATTAAGTTCTCGTATATGTATTGAGAAGCAACAGTCATAATGTCTATTTCCTTAAATTTCTCCCTTAAAGAGTCCCTAATCCTAAGATTATAAATTGATCGAATTGCTCTTTTCTGAAGCACAAAAATTGTTTGTATGTCGGCAGCATTTCCCCACAATAGGATACCGTACGACATAACACTATGAAAGTAACTGAAGTATACTAATCTGGCAGTATCTATGTCAGTTAACCTACGTATCTTCATTACGGCATATGCTGCAGAGCTAAGTCTACTCGACAATCTATCAATATGTAGGCCCCACTGTAGTTTAGAATCTAATGTTATTCCTAAAAATACTGTGGTATCCACAAGGCCCATGTTCTTATCTTTTACATTAACATTTATATCTACTTTTTTAACATTAGGTAGTACAAATTTTAAGCATTTTGTTTTTCCTTCATTAAGGAGAAGATTATTTACATTAAACTAATGTACTACTTTAGCGATAGAATTGTTCACATCGTCATTTAGAGGTAACCCTCTTTTAATTTTAAACAAGAGTGAAGTGTCATCCGCAAACAAAACTATTTCGTGATCATCCCTTACGAAATAAGGCAAGTCATTTATGTAAATCAAAAACAAGAAATGACCAAGTATTGAGCCCTGCGGAACGCCCATCTTAATTTTCGATCCAGGGGATCTTTTGCCATTGATATCAACCCTCTGTACTCTGTCAGTCAAGTATGAGACAATAAAATCCAATGAGTTATCTCTAAATCCATAAAAATGCAGTTTCCTAATCAATGTTTCGTAACATTGATTAGGAAACAAAATTGTAAATAAACATTATTAAAAAATGGTTTGAATTTTCATATAAAACATGAATAACTTTTTCCCCCAATCTATTATTATTAACATGGATATTTAATATTTTTAGTGTTACCTGCTATGTAAAAAATATCAATATCACAAAAGCATGTAATAAAAACTTTTCAAAAAATAGAGACGACTTCGTTTAAGTAACAACCTACAGTAAACTTCCCCCCGTCTTCAATAGCTTTTCCTTGCATAAGTCGCTTTTAAGATAAGTATTATAAATAATCACTTCTGTAAAGTTTGAAGCTAGTTGTACTTTTTTAAGTATTTTTTTTTACTAATAATGTTGAAAAGTACCGTTAAGTAATACATTTATCAAACTGTAGAACACTGGTGACCATTTAAGTAAGCATAAACTTAATGCCTCTAAATACTTTTTAAAAGATTTTTCAACTAATATCGTCTGAATAATTTAAAGACATGTATTTTAACTTTTTAAATTGTCTGAAGATTTTTTCTATTATTAAAACTTAACAGGAATCGAGCGTCGCATACCCCATAAATGTTATGAATCAGTATAAGAGTGCATAACATCGTACATCTTGTTTTTAGATACATAAACAGTTTATTAATTTTAAGTCAAATTACAGTTTGATACTTTTAAATAAATTTCCAATAACATACCCGAGCTGTGCCCTCAACTCGCTGATTTCCCTGACGGCGGCAGCATTAGGTATACCCAGTTGCTTGGCCCTCGCAATTAAACGACAATCATCGTACGTATAATCCAATACCGGCACACCAAGTGCTCTGAAAATACGAAGATGATCTTATGTTAGTATAGTCTTTACCATTTCCTTTAACATTTTTAGATCCCATGGAATTCCAAGGGATCAAGCAGAGATGGCAAACAATACTAAGCGCCTTTAAGCATAGTCTTAACAAACATCTTAATTTTTTTTTGTTCATAACTCTTTTAATAAATCCTCGCCGGCTTTATGGCTTCAGACTCATCTTCCAATAATATACAATCAATTTACGTTACTTTAAAAAGTGTATCTTGACCTTTCGCGGCTTCTACATTCTTCCATTATTGCGTTAATATCAGTTTAGTCAATATTACGTTCAGCATTCTGTCCACGTGCACTAGCAGCATTTTCAGCTGTTAATTTTTACATCGTCAACTATCTTTCAAGTCAACTTTCTTTCTAACCTCTTCATCACGGATGTAATCTGCAAGCGTTACTTGCCCAATTCTCCTTATGTTTGTGTATTATTCCTAGTTTAAGTTTATATGTACAATCAACAATAACCCTTATTTTACATAAACATCAGATTCTTACTTGGCCATAACATCTCGGACATTTCTCGCGTACAACTTAGGATCGCGTTTTTCTTCTTCGCTAGGATAGTATACGGGCAAGAATTCGATCTCGCATGAACTATGAACCTGTGTTAGGGTCAACCAAAGGAGCTTCAATCTGAAATATGAAGTTTGCAAATACAAATCTATTGAATAACAAAAAATTACATTTATATGCTCTCGCAAAAATACTGATTTCGGCATTATTGCTTAAGCAAAATGTGACTAACTATACATGTAAATTTTGCAGGTGCGAACACTTTCGATATTATATATTATTTTATATGGGAATCAGCCCGCATTGTTGAACAATATTCTCATGTTTGACACACCTACAACGCATAATACATTTTTTCTTACACATGAAAGTCGCCCATGGTTTGTTGCCTCTGGAGTAAAATAAAGTTAAGCAATATTATGCAGGTACAAATTTCTACAGCGAATAAACTTTAGAGATTCACTTTAAACTTCAATTGGAAAAATTGGTTTATTAACAGTATCCAAAATTTTGACGTTTCAGTTCGTTAATCTGCCGCTCATGGAGATTTTCCTTTGCCAAAATCTGCTACAACTATAAGACTTGATAGATTAATGAAGAATTGAATACTCACGCGCCAGGACCCTCCCAGGTCCAAGTGACCGTGTCCCGAGCGTTTGGGTACCGTATGGTAACTGGCTGTACGGGCACCCCCGGGTAGAATCCACCAGGCTTGAATGTGATCAGGCAAGAGCGGTTCGTGCAAGTGCCTTCAGGGAATATCAGAACCTGTAAGATATGATTATAATTACGTTTGACAAATTTTGCATTCACACGTCTCGTTTAAATCTAGGGTGCTTCAATTAGTTAGAACAGGATCACGAAAGGCACCTGAGTATATTGTTTTTTTTTTTAAGTGTTCTCTAAAATAGTTTTTTTATTATTCAAGATTACGGCACTAGAATACTACCTCGGACTGTTTCGCATTTCTTAGTTTGACTATATATAAGTTTATTTATCTAAATATACGAGTATATGTATTTCTATATTTCAATATCTGACCATAATAAACTTAATCAATTTTAATAAACATAATAAGCTTCAAAATATGAAGCGTCAATAGCTGCATACCAGAAATAACGAGATGGGTTGCCATCATAGAGCTATTATAGTTAGAATAACGAAATCTTAATCTGACTCTCGGTTGAAAAGAAAAACGAGATAGCAGTAGCCTCTTTCTTTCTTTCTCTTAACATAGCATACTCTATGAGATGGGTAAGGAACCGCTATCTTTTCTTTCTAACGGAGAGACATTTTCACTGTATACGACGTAGAGCTTAAAAAAGTTTATAAAAAAATCAGAAGCAATATTTACACGGGATATTTATGTAAAGATGGAACATGAGGTACATGTGAAGGAAATATTCTGAAAGTAAACGAAACAGAACATTCTATGAAATAAAATCTTTATTACCTTTCTGATTGAACCTCTGTGCTGCGACAAGAACCCCCTTTTATGTTTTTAATACATTTGTAATTAGAGGAACTTGATACCACGCACAGGATCCACCCATTAAGATATAGTAATAATAATATACAATAAATTAATATATTAACCTTATCAACTTTTAATCTATTCAAATCATGATTGCGCTTTAGCATTGTTTTCTTTATAAGGATGCCGTGTCAAGAGAATTAAGACCACGAAATATTTCATAAAACAATAAGGAAGTTGCATTATGTTATTTTTTTGTAACCATTGTTAATTAAATTTAAAAATAAAACAAATATTTTGATTGTTTTTCTATTTAAAGAGATTATTTGATATGCAGTGTTTGCACTAGAAATGCTTTATTGATATATAACTTACTATATGAAAAATACGAGTTGGCTACACCAACTTTCTTTAACAATAACATTTTAAAATACCGGCTAAGCAAATATGAATGGCATTGGCAAAAGTTAAATGAAGTTAAAACTTTAACTATACTACAAACGCTTATATATTAGAGTAAGTTTTACGTATTTACTATGCTAAGAAAGAGGATATTATCCTATAATGGTGTAAACCAACCTTAGTGAATCAACAGTTTCAGGGGATTTTGAACCCATAACAGTTCGTAATCCAAGTGACAAGAAAGCCATGATTTTTCTACAAAGAAATAAACGCCCAAAAAAGCTATAATTAAAAATGTAAAAGCTTCAACATATTTGTAAGGGGTCTATTAAGGTGTTTGTCCACTGCCTCAGCACACACACATCGACGGCACGATACGCAAGGCATTGCACGGATTTGTCTATGTCATAGTACGTCCACTGCAATTGCATTTGTTATAGAAGCATCTATGAAAAATGCGACTGTCAATTTGGTACAGAAATTATGATGTGAAATAGGAATTTTTAATAGAATCCGTGCATGTCATTTACCTTTACCGTCAATACATAGATTTATAAAATATTCTCATCAGAACTATCAATAATCTACACCTAAAATTTACCACTAATCAACACCTAATATTTTTGTTATAATCATTCCATTTCAAATTCTACCTTTCCGATTTTGAATCAATAGAAAATACATTTAAGTTTTTCGCTAGGTAATATAAACATATCTTCCAAGTAATTTGGTGGGTAGGTAGTAGGTATATATATCATACTATCATTTATGTCCGCTTCGTCATATATCACCGAGAAACACTTTTTTAATACATCAAAACGGTAAAATAACTGTAAGCAAAGCACAGAGCATATCAAAAATTAGTTGAATACAAGAAAAATTATGTTCCGGTATAAAGTGCGAATTCCAAATACCATACGTTTTGAATTCCGTGAACCATTCCATTATGGGCAACCATTTTTTTTTTGGCTACGCACTTAATTTAATATGTCATAATTACAATTTTAATGAGAGAAATTATTGTAATTTCGTACATATACATAAAGACGTATGTATGTAGAATAATTAAATTTAAAAGAGATGTTATTGATAGTCATTTAGATAAAAAAGAACACTGTACATTTATTAGTGTTATGGTTTTATTATAAAAGGGTTTGATATTGTGCATTCTTTTTTAAATAGCTGTAAGGTTCCTTTTAATCAAATCAAACATCCCGAGTATTTCAGACACAAATACCATATAAAAACTAATGCACGAAATAGGAAAAGAACACGTCGAGAAATTTTTTAATACCAAAGGCGAAAACATAATATTGACATAGAAGTTAATTGAAATTGTCTATCCGCTTTATGCTTGCGACTTCTTTCTATATTAGAAAGAAGTCGCAAGCACCAGCTAGTCATAAATTGTAACCTACTTTTGAGTAAGTCCGTAACTAATAACGTAAAACACTCAAAATAATATAGAATAATATTTATCTATTGACTTTTTATATTTTCACTCATTAAATAATACAATTTCGATGGGGTGTAGTGACGTTTCGAATCCTTACAGGTTCCGAAATAGACGTCATGATATCAAATATAAACGCACTACACCGAATCAAAATAGTTTTATTTAATGCGTAATGCGCCTGAAAAAATAGTTTTATTTAATTATATTTATCCCGAAAAAGATTGTTTAGATATAATTTTCCTTAAGGCTGCAAATAAAAACAAAACGTCAATGAGTATGATAAGGACAGAAGATACCGTATACAACGAAATAGAGCGTGAAAAACTATTTTATTTAAACTCGCAACATATTATGTAAAATTATTTTAAAAAATTTGAACCACCAATATTCGGCTAAAATATGAAACACTTGTATTTATCAATTTCCCTCCTATCTATAATCAAGAGAAGAATATTTTTTACCAAAAAACGCGAACTTCAATGAAGTACGAATTGTTAATTGTAGTTAGTAAAAATAGTGTTTTAACTATTAATAGTTCTTCCTTCATACAAATTGTTGTTTATTTATTAAATATAACATATTCTTTAGTAATTACTTCTCTCGACTATAGACATCACAGATAGACATGGAGGTAACACTAATATCTATAGTCAAAGGAAGTAATTATATATATATATAAATATAATTATATATTATATATGGTTGTATATATTCGCTGTATTATGTAATTATGTGTAAGTTTATTTATATTTTTTTCTGTACCGCCATCGCGTTTGTCTATTTTCCCAAAGGTTGACTGGGAGAGAATGCTATTAGTATAAAGTCCGCCTTTTGTACCATCTTTATATTGGTCAATAAAGTTCAATAAATAAATAAAGCAATTACATGAGAAAATGTCACAACTTAAGCAAGTATTTGAATGGAGTAAGATCTGGTAACAGCTAATAATAATAGTATTCTTACTATAAACACTTCTTACTTCATTCATATTCTTGTTTATTTGTTAAAGATATTGCTAAATAATTACTTTTACTCGACTATAGATATGGTTATTAAAGAGCACAATTATAATAGAACACCAGCCAAGTGCGAGTCAGACTTCAAGTGACGCAAAAAATCACGACTTTGTTGTATAAAGGGGTCATTTAGTGCTTTTTTGTATCGGGATTTTGTTTTTCCAAAATTCACATTTTAATTATAGCTTATTTTTTTCTTTATTTCTCTGTATAAAAACATTTAAAATTTTGTGATTGACTTTAATGCCGTTATGAGATTCCGACACAAACCTACCAATATAAAGTAGATGAAAAAATAAATATTAAACTAACTTGTGGCCAGTCTTCTTTGGAGGTGGCTCTCTCGATAATCTCCTTGATAGTGTTCTGCCTGGAGTTCGGATCATCCCGCCATACATAAACAGGCTGTGTATAGTTGATGAGCTCTGAAAACATTACACAATAAGATAGGGGTATAGAAGTTTTATTGTTTTTAGACATACATGAAAAAATATATACATTAATTATTTATTCATATAATACGGTAAAAACTAAAAATAAATTTAATTAAGGGTCACAAACTAAAATGAGCGAAAATCACTATTATTAAAAAATACGCCTAAAGATACCCATATTTCTAATTACATAAAATAAATTTATTTGTAATTATGAGGTTTATTTTGATCGGTGTTTTTGTAAAATAAGAAAATAAGGTTAACTTAAGACATATTTAAAAAAGTTTTAAGTATAATTTTTAATTTATGGCCCTTTAGTTTATAAGCAGCAAAATAACACTATCACAGTGGTAACTACGTAACCGCATAAGTACGTAACTTGCTGTTGCACAATAAAGTGACAGCTGTACCTATCTAAGTAAGGTGCATAAAAAACTTTCTCCATACAAATTCTTTACATACATTATTTATTATATACAAAAGCATATATGGCAATCAAATTTTATTGGCATGCACATAGAATAATAAAAATAAAACAACAAATGGTCTACGCATATTTTATATATACATAGTTGCGGTTTCTCAGGTGCGTATAAAGGTCGCCTCATACGTAACTCCGATTCGAAATATCCATTGGGGATTCTGTTATACACACATACGTTTATTTAAATTCGGAATAATGTTCATTTGAAAGACGCTAGCTAGTGAATTCAAATATTTTATCGTCAAGTATAGACGATAATTTTGCTGTATCTTGCTAAGAAGTAGGAAATTCCGACAGTATGTGACGGTCCTAACTGTGAGTCACCATAATCATACATAACTAAATGGAAACTTTTTGGCATGATTTTGTTTAGTTACGTCTTTAATTAATAACGCACCCTTTTCCGCAACTGTTTTCGGAACTATGCAAATAAAACATCACCATAAAATACTTTCTTTTAATTTACATAAAACAATTTAGCTTTTGAACTTAAGGTGGTAATAATGAGTTCAATACCAATTGGAGAAATTTGCACTTATAGGATGCTATTACTACTTTTGACCGCGAAAAGAAAAGAAAAACAAAAGTCAAGAATATTTTTAATATTTTCGAAGTGAACTTTGCGACTTTTTCTATAGATTTTTTTTATTTGTATATTTACATTTTGACTTCTTCGTCGTGAGAAATCTCGGATTCCCGTTGTGTATATTTTTCTCATTTTTACGTACACCTAATTTAGGCGTTATTTTTGCATAAAACCAATTGAGTTGTCTCGTTTTGGTGTACACGGTGTCATAACAATGACATTTGAGAGAAATGGGAAGTATTGTTTCGAATACGAAATGTCTAATTTCTATTTCTAATTTCTAATTGCACAGCATGATTTAAATAAATAAAAAAATATAAAAAACATTGATGATGCATTTTGCTGTGCTATTCATAAAAATAACTGCTGATAAAGTAAAGTTGGTATTGGCCCATTAGCGAGGGAAACTCCCACGCTCCCTACCGTCAGATAGCAGGGATAGTGCATACGGTAGTTGCTGGCAGCTTCGCCAGCTTTTTTGATAAGTGTTTTTTTTTTTATTTATTTGAATTTGACTTTGGTCACTTTTTCCTTTGCTGTCATGTAGTTTTTGTGCATCAAAGTATCTTAATCATTACATTATTTTCTCTTGCCTTTTTATCTTTATTTTTAAATAAAAACTACCAGGCCACGCTCCTCTGTCGATAACAATAGCATTTTCCCAGGGTCAAAAAATGTCATATCTACCACTTTTCTGGTAGATCTACCGATCTGTACGTTAGTCTACTTGTCTGCCAATTTGACCTACAAATATTGCACTTTTGTAACAATAAAAATAATTCTTTAAAAATTAAATAGATACCCTAAAATTTTACTTGTTTAGGTTTTTGATTTGATGAGTCAAATCTACCATTTTCTATTCATATCTACTGTTCATTAACAATTCGTCTACTACTTTTTGAAAATATAGGTTGGCGACACTGGATCAACTTAATGTTCTTTTAAATCTAGCTCTTTTAATATAAGCTAATGTATAGATATTTTCAAGCTGATGATTAGCATGAAGCATCTGTAATCACCGTCTAACATAATAACGGTCAGCCATTTGCGGCGTACCTACTGACGGTGTAGAGAAAGTAAGATACTTTTCATCGTATTAAACACAACTTACAACATAAGTACAACTAACTATATATACTCTATTCTATACTATACGTAGTTATTCTATATTTGCTGTAAGAAATAAAATAGAATGTAACTGCGATTTTATTTTAGTGTTATAAAATCGTTTGGGAAAACAGAAACCTGAATTTAAATAATTGACTCGATAAATAAAATTAAGCAAAGTACAAGCACCTAAGATTTTCCTATAATTATAATCTTTTTTAAATTTCCTACAGGTTTCCTGTTACATATAAGCAAACAACAATTCTCTATGTTGTTTTCAAAATTTTATTCCCAATAGTTAAGAAAAGGTAAATTATCAATTGTAGCCTTTTTCGTTATTTACTTCAAAACTAAAAGTATTGAAATAATAAAAAAGAAATAACAACACACCATTTCATTTGATTGGTTGTCAAAACTTCTTTTTAGTTTTTAATTTACCCAACGTCGAAAAAATCATTTCTTTCCATTACAAAACCATCTCTAAATTTTAATTTAACCAATCTATTAGTTAAGATTGAGTAGTGCTATTGAAACGATATCCTTGAATTTATTTCACTTGAAATATAAGCTACGGCTAGTTATACGGTACAATGATTTACAAAATCCTTTAAAAATCATAATCAACAGCTCGACTCTCATGTAAAATCTTTTAGCATGAGATTCACTCAAACAAGGCCAAAACACGAAAAATTGCAAATCAATCCAAAGAAAGAAATTTAGAAATGGTTGATATTATATATTATATGGTCTTAGAAGGAGGATTTTACACGCCTGCATTGCTATTCTGTAAGATATATTACCCACTAACTCTAACCGAGCACAGCAGCTCTAGGACAACATAGGGAGTCAAAGCAATAAAATCTAATTGCCTTTTGAAGTAGGTATCCTTACATTTAACTTCTATGCTGTATGATAGCTCTGTGATCGACATCATGCTCGAGGCTACTTTTATTACAAAAGAGCATAGCAGTGCCAACAGAATCATCAGAATTGTACTGTCGCCTATTTAATGCGACGTGAAAAGGAAAATCATGTCGTTTTCCTATATCGGCTTAAAAGTTACGTTATTCCGGATGTGTTTAAGTTTTTATTCGGTTACCAGGCGATACATAAGCCGGTAGAATTTATAAAATAATCCAGTTGACTGAAAATTAACAAGGTCAAGTGAGGTAAAAGGCCGACCAATACCTTCAAGGCAACGTTGGTCTATACTGAAATAAAACCAACGCAACAACGAAGCCATAGAGAACACGCGGCTCTTTAAAGTGCCATTGGAATAGGCACTGATTTTTTTTAGATAAATGCTAACGAGTTTAAAAAAATTCTATGAATCCTACTAATATTATAAATGTGCAAGTTTCTTTGTTCGGATGTTTGTCCGTCAATCACGCCGGAACTACTAAATGGATTTTGATGAAATTTGATATACAGATAGGGTATTAACTGACTTGGATATTAGGATACTTTTATCCCACTAAACATTTTCCTAGGGACTACGCGGGTGAAGCCGCTGGCGAAAGCTAGTAATTTATAAGAACAAATAAGATATTAAATAATTTGCTGAGGCGAACATACTGAATATCAGACAAGGATAGATATATGTTTGCCAATTTCTGATATCATAGCCTCCTAAATATCGATCGCTCGCACAGCAGTACATAGAATTCTTAAACCTGGAATATGTTATGGCTTGTATAGATAAAAAACAATATAAATTTGTCTTATATATGGATATATCGAGTGCAATTGATAATGTTTATCACAAACTCCTTTTATCTCATGTCTATGCAAAAGTTATAAAAGGTTCCGTACATAAATTATCTTTAAAGCAAAAAAAAGTACACTGTGTTAACTAAGTTGTGTAAAAACCCTTCTTTACGTAGAGACATAGTCAAGCGTTCCTCAGGGGAAGATCCTGGGGCCTCTTTTTATTACTTATATAAATGATCTCCCAAAATGAATTGATTTATCCAATGATATTATTTGCAGATAACACAGCTTTGATTAAATGTAATAATGACTTATGAAGAAGACTTAAATAATAATATAAAGTATGAAATTGAAACTATTACAATGAAAAGGCAATTTCATACCTTAACCTCTAATATTAACATATCTCAAACGTAATAATGAGATTATCGAGTCAGTCTCAGAAACTGAATTTCGGGGTTTGATAAATTTTTGATAAAAATCCCACATTTAAATTCTTTAATAAAATGCCAAATGGGTAAATTTATGCTTTACATCGTCTATCTAAATTATCAAATATAGAATATCTTAATGGCATACTATTTCCTCGACATGAGCTGGAACCAGGACTAATTCAAATACATATAAGTATGTTTATTTGTATTTAAAATACTATAAATATTTTTACATAGTTTATATTAAATAAAACTATGAACATTGCTGTAAAACTATGAACATGTTTGTATGCCTTGAAAAAGATAGAAATGTAGTGCCACTATTTATTATAATTCAAAACACCTTTTACTTCTATAGCTATCAAGTCGTAACGGCAGATACTTATTGTTTATAGTGAGTTTTGGGTTCTCCCGATATATAAATCAGATTTAAAATATAAAAAAATAACGGAACTTCAATTATAATAAATCGGAAGAAACGTTACTAAAATAATCAAGACGTTGATTTCATAGACCATATATTCTAAACAATATGAATTAGGTCTCAAGATTATTATATGCCAATTCCTATTTTCTTTCTCTATGTTGTCGAATTAAACGCTATGCTTCCACTGTTACTAATAAAAAACTGGTTATTTTATTTCACTCAGAATACAAAACGAAATGACATTCCTTCTTAAATAGCAACAGTGAAAGCAGAGAGTCAGATAGCATCACTCCAAATCAACTTCAAATTATAACACTCACGAAAACAAAAACAAATGTTCTAGTGCCGCGATACATCGTAATGATGACGTCAATACAATAAGTATATTAACATTCCGTTTCAAGCCGGTTTTAAACCAAAACGATTATGT